TCTTGCAAGTACGGTAGTGCTGCCTCTTAGACCAGTTTCTACTCGTTCTACATCGTTAACTGCTGCAGTGATTTCTGAAGGTGAAAGTTCGATTCCTTGGTCATCTCGGTCGCGAGATCAGTAACGACTGAAAGTCCACTTCCTCCACTCCCCATCTCGCGCTTTCGCTACTTCCCAGCGTCCTTCTTCCTTCCCTTTTTGTTTTCTTTCAGTGTTTCAGCTCTTTCTCTCTCTGACCCTTTTCCTCTCTTTTTTCTCGTTCCAATCGTTTCTTCTGTCTTTCTCTCCCCCGGAACATGTAATTCCATTTCCACTTGACATCTTCCATGGATACCTTTCTTTTTGGGAGTTCCAGGCCAGATCAAGTAATCCTACAGCTGCGCAGGCTTGTCAAGCGCTTCCTCGTCGACTTCCTTTGATATTTCTCATATCGCTACGTGCAGAGGGGATCCGCGCGTTTACTTTGCTATCGAGGGAGAGGAATGAGAAGATGCCTCCTACTTGTGCCTTCCAAACCTCATCCATGAACTCTGGATGTGTTCTCTGTTCGATGGGGGATGTCGTTCCCTAATGATTTCCCGGAAATCTTTCAAGGTCAGAGAGGATGGCATGGAGATGGATGCATCCTTGACAGCAAGACACCTCGTGTAATCCAAACATTGTCAGGGTTTCATGGGAATATTCTGCACGCGCGGATGCAGTTCTGCATGCAGGATGTAGAGTGTTTTTCCCTTGACTCAGACACACGTGCATGGGACGTTCCTCATGCATGAGTGTCGAGGTCAAGTGAGAAAGTGTCTAACTGAGATGAAAAACACTGTATGCCTCCCATGGTAACATGATCAATCCAGCGAAGTCTTTCTCGGTTGGGGTTGGGGGTAGAGAGCCACCAAAATTATCTTCGGGGGTGTGGAATGGCCATCTACAAAGAGGATCACGGGGAAGTCGATCTTTTGTACGACAAGGTAGGGGTGGAATACGGACGAGATATACGATCGTACTTACGGGAGATTTCCGACTTCAACCGTTTCTTGAATGAGCGATCTCCCAATCGATGTCGCGAGGGAGACGAACATGTGGATAGGCCTAAGTGAAGTGGTGAATCGAAAGCCTTTTTATATCTCCTGCCGGGCGGAAACGGGGGAAGAGCGGAAGAAGGGGGGGGGGAAGGCGTGAATCCGTTTCAAGGATATGTCAAGGGTGCGTACGACCCTATCACACTAATATATGTATGGCCAACATCCAGAGCCGGTGTCGTATGATATTTTTCCTCCCCGTAATATTTATCCCCACCCCCCTTAATGGAAATGAAGAGAGTTCGTTAAAAAAAAAAGTAGAATTGTAAGTTTGTCGATTGCGAAAAGAGAATATAATCTTTACTGTCAGAAACGGATCAAACGATATCATAGAAGAACATCCTCCTGTAGAGGACGATGTCTCTTCCTCCCTGCCTTCATGTCAGCTGCCTTCTTTGCCTTTTACTTCCGTTGCCTGGAATCTTTGATGTGGCTTTCAAGTTCGCCCCGAGGAGTCGACACTGGCTTAGACGTTAGCGAAGCAGATGGAGGCGCAAAAAGAACACTAAAAGGCACGGAAGAAATAGCCGCCTAGGAACGAGGCGAAGTTCCTTCATTTCCATTAATGGGGGTGGGGAAAAATATCATACGACACCGGCCCTAGCTACTTCAGCACCTTGTGCAAAGAGACTCCCAACGCCCCCCCCCCTCTCCTCCTCAGAAGGGAGAAGGGTCAATCCTTCGCGTCCAAAAAGACGCCGAAGCGGAAGGCATTTCCACTTTCTGAAGTAAAAGTGAGGGTGGCGTCCACTATTGCTCCATCCATTCTGGCGCGTTTTGGCGCCCGCGCCCTGAGCGGGGGCACATGTGGCACACGCCTAAGGCCGGCCCTGCCAACATTTAGGACCATGAAAAACCTCATTCGCAGTCAGTTTTTGGCCTGGTGGCCAGTAACTGCCCAGGCAAAAATGTTGTAAAAAGACCTATAGAATTCTATAGAGTTTCCTATATTGTTCCATAGAATTCAATGTCACTCGTTGGAACTGGATAGGAGTCTATAAATATTAGGATATTCAACAGTAAGGGGCTAGGCATCGCGTAAGCGGAAAGATATTTCGACATGAGTACCACTAAGTGGCGGCTCATGGGCGAAAAATCTGGGGTGGCCAGCACGTCATCATAACGAGCAGGAAATCCTTGTCGTAACAATGGGGGCATGAAGCACGCAAGGCGTGTTTAGGTCGGCCTAGTCGCCTGATGAGTCGCATGGCAGTGGCAGATAACTGCAATAAAAGATTGAACGATCCGTGTTGGCAGTTTATATTGAATTGAAAATATGTAGGAGCAGAACGAAAATGGAAACATCCAGTGGAACACTTGGAAGAGTAGAGGCGCATCCGGTCCGAGGAGAAAATCATCGGTCCCATGACTTAATTCCCTTGAGAATTTCGGGACTTCTAAACAGAACCGCATTTAGCCCACCTTGCAAATAATCTTAATGATCGCGAAGACTAAATCTTCTGTCTTTTTCATTCGTAGAAACTGCATGGGTAAAAATTGGAAATGCGGATTAGGATGACCGAGCAGCTTTCTAATTTCGACAAAGGAACCTACAGACTTGTCTGTACTGGCCGGCCTCCCTGCTACCGCATACCTCTACTGCGTGCGCCATGTGATCCCCTTAAGCCCGCCGCACACGAGGCAATTTGTTGCTCCACCGTCGCTCCACACGATATTGCCCTGTGCGTGTGGGGGGGTCCTGCGATGTTGCTGGGATATAGGCCCGCCCAAATTCTAGCATTGACCAATCACATTGCTTGCAGATTGCTCCGTGTGCCCCCGGGATCACATCTGCGACGGTAGCGCGATGGAGCAACGAAAACCGCCTCGTGTGCGGCGGCTTTATCCATCGCCAATGAGCCAGAGGAGGCCAGATATAAACGTTTTGGTTCATCCAGTTTCTCGTATCCCAAGGTAGATTTTTATTTTACAGCCCAATTCCAGCCAGAGCTGCTCGTTTAAATTGCACCAGGTAAGATGAAAGGACTCTCCGATGCATAATCCCCATGAGGATTTCCAGCAGTTCTCAACTACGATCTACCCCGAATCCCTCCAGCAGATTATCCCAATGCTTTCACAAGTTCATCATTAATTCATCAGATGTAAGGCTTCTAAAAGGCTCTCCACATTCTATTAATACAATTTATAGATGGCCTTTGGACGAGGTGAAGTCGAAGGAAAAAGGCTACCTTTAATTCTTTGTCTTTTCCTTTGGGAGCATTGTTTGCATCTACTTATTTCCAAAGAAATTTGATGGGATTTTGATAGATTTCGTTTACATTGACTCTACAGACGTTCATTGTATTCAATGTAAATTTAGTAAAATTTCTTGACAGTGACAAAAAAAGTTAATACAATCCTGTATGAACTCTGTATAATTTCTTTAGTGTCTTCGCAGAATTCTATAGAAATTTGGTATGATTCTTGATAGGATTTCTATGGAATCTCCATAGAATTTCCACCTGGTGATTTAATATAATTATATAGAGAGAATTAACTTTATACGACCGTATATAATTTTTTCTTTAGGGAGTCTATTGAACATTTTTGCCTGGGTGGGCGAAGCTTCAGAAGTTGGCCGCCCAACAAACGAGAGTTTCGTCATAATTAAAGAATAAATAAGTGACAGAACTTGTCATTTATTCAAAATGGAAATGAGAACTTAGTTGAACTCGCCTATTGGAAGAACGCTTGCCAGTAAACGAAGCGGGGCGATTGCTTAGCACAACCGTTAAGGAAATATGCCGTTTACGCACGTCCTCCGAAAAAAAAAAAACGCTGGTACGACTCCCAGATTGAATAGACACACCGTGTGAACATTATAAGAAACGAGGAATAGGTCCTCGTATGCAAAGATGTTGATAGAATGCGTGGAAACAGCTGTATGAACAAAATATGCCGGATTTAGGCCTCACTGGCCAATAACCGGGGTATTAAACCCTCTTCCCCACGGGCATTTCTCTCATTTCCAATGTTTTCTTCCAATGAATGGAGAAATTCCACTGATCGCAAGCTCGTCTTGTCCATAGATACGAGAACGACAAGGATTTTTTTTCTCCACTCGTGCGCTTATTGTTTCTTTGGCCTTTGTACCCCTTTCGGGACGTCTCCGTTGCCTACAATGCTCTTTTCCCGCGAGTTCCTGAATATGAACAGTAGATTGCAACCCACTTCTGAGAATTTAATAGTGGTGGCTGGTGCATGCGAGACCGTCGTCACACACCGCTTCTCCCAGCAGGCATGTACGTGAAACGTCCACGAAGCTTTAAAAAAAAAAACGAAGATACCTGTAATCGAATGAACACGAAGATATTGAAGGTTCGCATCACTCCTGCTATCGGATCATTGCGAACCTTCTTGGAATTCATCCAAGACTTGTGTTAAGAATTGAGAAGTGTATTGGAACGGGAAAGAGGACTCTTCGTGGGTCGTGAACCGAGGCTTCCACGGATGGACATTCAGCACGATCGCAGGATTTACCTGGACTGGAAGCATTGCACACAATCTGGAGTTTTGAATCCCTCGTTTTTATTCCAGTTAAATTGCATAAAATAAAGTGTCATTTGACATTTTGGTGATGCAAGTTTTGTAGCTACTTTATTTTAGTGCATTCTAGGTTTAAGCATTCTTCATTTGTTGTAGCAAGTGTTGTCAAGCATTTGTTGCACTTTGGTACCATCAGAGCAAGAGACAAATACTTCAGATTAATCCCAATTCCCAATTGACCTGAATTCTCACTTTTTTATGATGAAGGCCAATTTTCTATTTCTCTATTGTGATGGAGACTCTTGTCTGTGTTCATGTCTAAGTTTTTGCAATTCTTAACCAGTGATCGCATTGTGAGAAAAATATAATTTATGGCATGGTAATCAATCACAAGATTTAAGAGAATATAAGACATAAGCAGAACTTTCCACATTAACACACCTCAACTCATTAGCAAATTTTATTGCAAAAATTTCCCAGGGAATACACATCACAGGGGAATGTTTCCAGTCTCACAAGTCAGACTGAATTCAACTATCAGTTTGTAACAAGGAAAGAAATTTCATTTGATCAGCATGAGTAAGAGACAGTGATGAAAGATAACCCACATGCAATAAAAAAATATCACCATCAACTCATAGAAGTTTCTCATCAACCTTCAATTATATTGCCATTATACTATTTCATACAATCTTCAGCATGTGAAAAAAGAAACAATCAAAGCAAGTCTCCACTTGTAGTGATTCTTTTGAAGTCAGGCACTGGAAGACTTCAGATGTCTTTGGCTCATCTTGCTTCAAAACTGCAAGACCAAGGGGAAAACAATATTCAGATAAGACCCTTTTGTAGAACTTACTGAAAGGATGCCATGAAATTCAATGCTGTCTTTTTCTATATCAATATCTGGAAGGTCACTGACTCGTTTAAGGAACTCTTCAGCACAAATCCTCGCCCTGGCATTGACTGCAAGCTTCATCTCTGAGATCTCTTTGTCAATTTCCTCCATGAAATGGATGACAAAGTCTACTAACTTGTGCTTATACATCTGCTCTGTGTGGAAGTTGGTTATCAGGAAGCTGATGTCATAGCCCTGATAATATAAAAATAAAATCCTCAAGGGTCTGGTAAGGGTGAATCGACACTGCAAATGATCATCATAAGCTAGAAGCTTGCCTCAACAGGCTTGCGCCTGAGTATGAAGAAATTCTCTGCCCTCATCATCATGAAGCGCATGAACTTGTGGCAAAGGATCTTCTCAATCTCATCAGCCTGCTTGATGGAAATGCTCACTCGAACAGAGTTGATTGAGGCCTCTATCAAGACCTTCTCCTTATCATTGCGGCTGATGACAACTGGGTTCAGGAGCAGCTCTTTGCTGGTTCTGTAGATATGTACACATGTAACACTCATGACCATTCATCAGAATGTCACCTTACACCTTGTTATTGTAAGTTATAAGAAACACAAGTCAGATCTGAAAATCGTGAAAAAATTTCTTTGTTGACTGTGTGGTATGAACAATGGAATAGAGAAGCATAAGACATGTCATTTCAAGGAACCAAAGAGTGTGGGGAGGGGGGTGCAATTCTTCCTCATTTATGCAGCACACAATATCAAAGTGGTTGAATTATAAAGGAAGACCAGAAAGTCATGACCATTTGTTCTGCTGAATGACCATGTTTTATGAAAAGTTACAAATTTGAATTTTTTGCAGAATTTCCTGGAAGGTTGGGAGATTAGTCTGAACCATGGATAAGTGGACAACAGGACACCATGCAGCAATAGTATAAATGCATTTTTGTAATGGGAAATCAATGGTTGCTGCTCAATGCACCTTTAGTGAGTGGTTTGGTGTGCCTAAGTGTCCTTCACTGAAATCGATATCAAACAACCACCAATTTCCCATTGCAAAAATACAGTTCTACTATTGCTGCATGATGTTATGTTGTCCACTTATTCATGGTTCAAACTAATCTCCCAACCTTCTAGGAACACCTGCTAAAAATTCAAATTTGTAACTTTTCACAAAACATGATTATTCAGCAAAAGAAAATGGGTCATGACTTTTTGGTCTTCCTATCCTTCATTAAATGGAAGGAAGGGTACTTCCTGAAAACTTCAACTGATCCAACTGCCAAGTTGTTTCACTTACAATTTCAGAAATTACATTCCTAATAGATACCTGTATATTTCTTAACAAATGACAAAACAGTAAAATGACTAAATGACTTCCAACAAGAAAAATAAAATATGGATGAATGAAAAATAATCTCAGTTTATCTCAATTAAACAAATTATTCTGCAAAAAATTGTATTACTCAGAAAATTAGTCCAGAAAAATTTGCATGGGTATAAACCACATGGGATAACAGGGAAAATGATTGCCTCGAATTAAGAATAAAGTTTTCAAGTGAAGAGTCTAGTCATATGGTTATTTAATGTAAAACTTCTTTAGTGACTGTGGAATATTTTAAAATTTATCTTTTACAGTGATATTGACATCCTTCAGTGACGCTGGTATTCGGGCCTACAATGAAACGGAGTGCATGGGATATTAAAGTTTGAAAAGGTAAGAAAGATTTGGGAATTTCCTGAAATACAAGTTTTTTCAAATCCTTGTGAAAACTTAGAGCTGAGCTTATAATTAGCAGCTCTTTCAAATACAGACTATGAATTTCAAAATTTGCCTCCAAAGCATGAGTTTTAATATTCAACTTCAAAAATTAAAATTGGCTTTCATATAAACCAAGGAAACTTTGTGACATTTACCTTTAAAATGTGACCATAAGGGGTACAAAAACATGCAACTGTGGTACTAATAGTTCCACTATGCTTCAGCATTCCTAATATCCATGGTTTACAGTTTTTACCACAATGCTTCAGTTTAGCAGCTCCTAATCTATATGGCCTAATTTTAGACATGCTTTTATCATGTATTGGAATGAGTTCATGGGCTCATGTCTCAGGCAGGGCTACAGCAACACTTAGTCCACATTTTCTTGAAACAGGTAATAAAAATTTTCCACTCTCAGTATCACTTAACAAAATAATACTGTCATAGACCTATTCTGCTTACAGTTACCCATTGGACACAGTTAACTGTACATAGTGCATAGGGTTGCCCAGGTGACTGTACCCTCTAGGGATATTGTGTTTCTCCTTAAGTTAGGCCAGGTTAGGTTATGTTAGGGGGGAGTGGTGTGTATTATATATAATAGGAATCCCAATCAATTGGGATTCCAGGTGACTCTACTTGTGCTCAGTTACGAATGTATTTGGTTAACTGTAAGCAGAACAGACCCATATGTCATACTATGCAATATCAAACTGATCCCCACCTCACTTCCACTTCAGGTTTATTGTGCCTCTCCACAACTTGTGATGAGAAGTTCTCCAAGCACATGGCTGCAGTCAGTGTGTGCCTCACAGCAGTGAGATATGGTTTCAAGGTCGCAGCCTAGAAAGAAGAATACAAGTTCAGCTTGGAAAAGCACAAAATGGGCTAACCAAGTTCTTAGGGTTACTAACCATGATCTACATTTAACCTAAGCCCATAATAGCCACTGTTAAAACCAGTATCAGGGCCGACAGCAGTCAGTCCACCTAGCGCAACTAGGCCTAGGCGCGCGAGCTGAGCCTATGTCTAACATCTGCCAAATCACATTCAAAAGACCTCGGCTGCGTTAGCCAAAGGGCAGCAAGGCCTTGCTGCGCTAGACCTTCAACGTTATTTCCAAATAGTACTTAATGGGTCCAAGGCAATATGCGGACATTTGGCCTTCGATCGATCGAATCTCGATAGACTAGTCGCCATGTATTCGACTTTATCCTATTATTCAATGATAAAGTCCTCACCATTGTAAATAAATCTAACTCTTGGGTATGGGTACGGGCCTAAGCCGTGATGAGCGTTGACAAGGATCCAAAAGTAGGCGTGAAGGGCAGTAGTCGGCGTCTTATCACCTGCGGGCGGCCATATTCCCTCCTTACTCACATCCACCCATGTGTCTGCTGCCGACTGGGGATTTGGATTTTTACCCCATAGCAAACCTATCCTATCAGGGTATTGTACCGTAACATCAAGGAAACTTCGTTAAATTTTTAAGTTGCAATATTCATTGTTAAAATACTAGTGCTGCAAAAAAAACTCCTTAACGTAACAATTGAATAACTACCTGAATTGTATACAATTGTAACAAGTGCGATGCTCGTCGCACATGAGACACTCTTCTCCGTCATACTTCACCATTGCATGCATTAGCATATATTTGACCCGTTTGAATCGGCAAAGTGCCTAAGCAAGAGACAGAGCCCCGATGGGAAAGGAGAAAGTGGAGCATGCAGATTCCATATACACGTGGGAGTTGAACGTGACAGCGAACAGCTTTGTTTCACGGAGGGAGGAGTCATCACAGGGGTGTTAGGGGTTCGCCCCTTCCCTCGCAGTTCTTCAAGACATACTAATATCATTCGAGGTGGAGTGTTTCGCAGCGGCACCACCTTTTCTCGGGATGGTGCATTCTAATCCCGACGCTGGTGACCTCGAAGAATTTTTCTTTCACTTGGGTTCTGTGTGTGGGATTTGCAGCCCAAGAAGCGTTGCTGCTTGTGATCTGTATGCTCGTGTGTAGTCCTGTATTATAGACCTAATTTCTGTAAAGGATCAACTAGGCTCTAATTGAACTACTCTGATCGAATTGCCCTTTAATTAAAAGGCTGATAGGAAAAGGGGTCAATCTACAAAAAATTCATTCCTCGACCGCCATACTGAAAGAGCGAATATTTTAATGTCCTTAAAAGTGAGGATAGGCCGCACGCATAGATAGACTAGTTTATCTTTAACATAGTTCCCAAAAACTACAATTTTCAATGAAAGGAGAAAGGTTCATTGAAAATTAAACCAACTATACTTTTTTTTAAAGACATTTTCTTGCATATTTACAGTAGATCACTTTTCCTTTCAGACGTTCCATCGAAAGTTACTAGAGGCCCTTGTGGCATCCGTGGTTGACAGTTATGAGATAAGGGACAATAACCCTGCTGCGCCAGTTGATTTATGAAACTACCATCATTCTCATTATGAATGAATACCGTCTCGTACCAGCACGTCGATCCAATGAAGGCTGTTTCTCAAAACGCAGACTGCCAATGAAGAGAAGGTCCCGTTGGAGTTCCCTCCCTCGATCCTTTCCTCCGGAGAATTAGGATTAGAAATTCAGTATCGATTTGGCTGGGGTACTCGGTCCTCTCATGGATCGCGGGTTCTCTCCATTCCAACGTTTTCTACCATCACACGCGAAATTTTGAACGAAATCTAGAGGGTATTTGGTATTTCAGAGCTCTTTCGAAACCAGTGCGACTGAGTGATAAGCGTTGACTTTTTTTTTCTTACGGTCTGGAGGCGTAAGTTCCTTTTAGAATCTGAAACTTTCTATTTAGGTGCCGGAGACATTGCTAGTGACCGGATGTAAACTTCGAAAATACTTTTATTTTCATCAGTATTAATCAAATAACCCATATGCTAATTGTTTGAAGTCGGACCGGTAGTTTTTGTCTGAGTTCTTATTTTTCTTCCGCGATTTGCGTTAAGTAGAGTTTTGCTCGTCCATTCTTGCCCCCTCAAAGTTCCAGTTAATTTTGGTTTAAATCATTTTCGTGGGTTTTTCCGTTCTGTTCTTCTGATTTATTGATACCAACTGAATTCTTTTATTTAAAAAGTCTCTGTAAATCACACTCGATATTGAATGGTTGGCCTTTGCACACTTGGGAAGATTTGGTTATGTCAGAAGGCGTTTGCTTGGCGATTTCAAATTTATTCAAGTTAATTTCACTAAACCTAAACAGTGTAAAATTCGGTGTTTCGGTCGTTTGGTTCGTATCCGTTTGTTTCTGCGATATTGTCCGACTAACGGACATGTCACATGGTATTACCCATATTTGCTCCCCGTCTCTCAGACGATATCGCTTCGAAACTCAGAGTTTATATAATAGTGCACTATTGGTTAATATTGATGCGCAGGGTATGTACGCATATTTTGAGAGCTAACTCGTGTAAGAAGCTGAAATCCGATAGCTACTTTTTCATTGAAGTGTTTTTGGGAGAAGATTGCGCCAAATCCTACGTCTATTACAGACTCTGGACGCGAAGAACGAAAAAAGAACAGGTTAAAGTAAAAATCCATATGCTTTTTCTGAACTAGGGTGAGGGAGAGGTGAGTTTCAATCGAGATGTCGCTTGACATCTCGAGTGAAACTCATCCAATATGACCAAGAAAGAACGAAGGGAAGGTACTACGGTTACTTCTCATGTTTTTCGATTCGATTCCTTTTCGGGTCAGGTCGACGATGGAAAAGTTCCGAAGGCGTTAAGGAATTTATGAAAAAACGGAGCGATATATACTCGAATTGGTAGCCGACGCCGCTTGGAAGCGAACGAGTTTCAACGGGACGGGGGCTGAAAGCATCATCGGCTGTGTGTGCATTCTGCGTGCATGATTATAATGTGTTTGTAGCATCCTGTATCTCAACGGGGAGTGAATGGAAGGGAAGGGCTGGAGATACACCATTACTTCCTTCCGGGATAAAGGAGGAGCTTGGGAAAGGCAAAAGAGAGAGACGATAATGCAGGAAGTGGACTATCTCTAACTGCATGCCATGGGAAACGGATCATTGCTTCTTCCGTTCATCCTTGGAATTGCCTAAAACGTGAAGACATTTTGATATGTGGAACATGAAATCGATTTCTATTTTACTCGTCTGCATCCTTTCATCCATCACGGTGAGTTAGGGCGTCGACATCGAGGGGAACTCTCGAGCTGGTCGATGTCGTCGAGTAGTCCTTTCACTTTCTATCGTCGTCGTACATTTCATAATCGCTCGTTTTTTCGCATTTGCGTCTGGAATGACAGGGAAAAGAAGAAAAAGGATGGGAATGGCATCCCGACTGCCCGGAAGCGTGCACGTGCCGCATCGCCGGCCTTCCCGACTTCCCCGACTTCCACCGCTTCGACCAAGGTAGGTTGAGCTTTTTTCTTTTGTGCGCTGGCGGAACGGCAAGGACCAGAACGGCACGGTTTCTATGTCGCAGCGCCGGAGATGCCAGACGGACTGAAGGCGGCCACCTGCATCCTTCTCAATGGAGTTCACTTTCCAGGACTCTTCGCTTCCCTTCCCAATGATACACAGGTGCACCCTTGCGTTCAAGTTGGAAAAAAAGATCGACCCTTTCCACGAGTGCTGGAATTTATTAATTCCAAAGGCAATAGGAGAGTAACTCGACTAAGCCATTTTGATTGAGTTTCAATCGGATTTCGAACTAAATTTATTCTGGAACTATGCATAGTGCCTCGCTTGCGTCCTCTCTCCTATATTCAATGGGGGTGCTGAAGGTCAACACGTCAAAATTCCAGTTTTAGACGTAGCCTCAAGAATTTGCTCTACTTTAGCCCAGGGGTGCTTAAAGTGCGCCCCGCGAGACAATTCTGGGGAAAAAGTGAAGTTGAGAGAAAAGACAGCGGCATTTACAGGGAAGGATGTTTGCACGTAGTGCGATTCAAGCAGACCTGCATTGTTTTTAAAAAGATGTCCGTTTATTTCAGTGTCACAATATATCGGGCGAACCCCATGCTTTTCTGCACATGACATTTCAGATGAATTATGCAGACTTCTGCCAAATTAAAAAAAAAAATTCACTTGCTGCTTCAAATGTTATATATCGCTCATTTCAGATTTTATATATACAGGTATATTCATGACGATGGAGTAAGAAAAAAGCAGTGAGGCAATAAGTGCGATAAGTTTTTGATTTTGCGGCCTGCTGATTAGCTGCCCACAGGCTGTGCGGCCCTAATGACCAAAAACTTTTGGGCACCCCCGGTCTAGCCGATAAAAATAGAGGATCATTCTCATCTTGTGAGCAATGACGGAAATGTGTACGACACCAGGCATCGCAAATTTCTTTCACCATTTTCCTTGTCCCGAGAGTCTCAGGACAAAGGGATAATTTCATTGTTATTCACATAATTTCGGAAGAGGAAAAAGTCGATGAAAGTACTCCTGGCACAAAGTCACTCAACGTAGGCATCCATTTTTCACTTCTTTTTATAGAAGGGTTCTCATCGCATGCTGTCGAGTTTTTTATTCTAATAATTTCCCCAAATCGAACCTCATAGACCCTAAATGGAACTGCGTTATTTACATAACAGAAAAGCAACCAGGAAAATATAGGCAGTTTTGTAAATTGATTTTCTTCTGATTATTCATACTTCATTGCTTGCTATGTCATCTTGATCAGGATTCTATGCACTTCGACATATTACATTTTGGATTCAGGAATATGGATACAAAGAGCCTACGACGCATTTTTTTAGGAAGACACTCGTAATTCACATAACTCCGTTCAACAAAATGAAGGATGGTGTATTATCATTAATTTGTTGGTTTTTCTTCCCAATTCAAGTCGGCTTCAGCTCCCAAGAATATTGCAGAAGATAGCCAGAGTACATGCTTTGACTTTTCAAATTCTCAACTGTTCCCCTTTTGCCTCTAGCTTTGGGAAACCCGGAATATAATGCAACACTGCTTTTTTTTCCCCCCGAGTGCTATGGGGCAGCGACCTTATCATCTTAGCCTTCGCTTTCCCGAAACCGTCTAATAGAAAACGGCGTTGCATATGCTTGCCCATGCTCTTGTCGTGTCTCCTCTGTGGGAGGAATATAAATTAGGTTGCTCGTTCTATAGGCAATGTAGAACTATCTACTACTATTACTATTGTATACTACAATTATCTGGGCAGACTGAAGTATAAGGTTGGTATGTATTTTCATTTGTTCTACATTGACTACATTGCATGCAAGAAAAAAAAGGTTTCTGCTACCAGGATTCAAATCAGAATATTAGTGGTGTATTAACTGAGCCACCCTGTCGCCCGAAAATGATACTAATCCTCGAGGCAGTAGCGAGAAACGATGGAGCTTTTGAAAACGAAAGAGTGTGCTGTGTAAGACGTGGTAATGTATTTGTTCGAACCCACCCAATTATAAATAGTTTTCAACCATTGCAACAAGTAGCATTTATCACGAATCACACCTAATCATGCAACTTTCTTATCTAACACGAATGCATTTTCAAATTCTTCACAGTAAGAGGCTTGAACACAGTCACACTCGATCAGTCTTGTTATAGCAAGAAAGATGAATCTTGGAGCTTTCAGAAAATATATAATTTCACTGGATTTTCTGAAGTTCGTATTTTATAGTTTTGGTTTACATTTCCGTGAAATGACCCAACTTGGGAGTGATGTTCGACAAAATTCTCCGCACTATTCGGTTGACCTTCGATTTCCTCGCTCAGCGAGTTTTCAACTTCGCATTTCCTTTGCCTTGAAAATGAGTGTCGAGAGGATATGAACCGATAGCCCAGCAGCTTTCAAGGCCATCCATGGAGCGCCTCAGTTATGGATCATCCAATTCCCAAGTGTTTCATCGGTATGCGGCGCTTCTTTAGCCCTTTGCGGTCTTGTCATAAAGATTCCGACAATCGACACTTCCTCTTTCGCTGCTGGGTCGGAATGTTCTGACCCGTGATAATCACACTATTTCCCATATTACTTTAATCACTTGGTGGCTTGTTGATGCAAAATCAGTTTACATAACCTATATTATAATGACCATGGAAATAACCATATCTGGAAAATCTTGATGGAAGTAAACTGATCCAGGAGATACCACTATGAGAAAAGAAAAGGTCTGCAAGGGGTTGAAAGGCCAATTAAATTCAATTCGATTTATTGGTAAATCGAGTAAAATTGTAATCACTACTATAAGTAATCAAAATAAATCGAAATGTAACCAACATCTCCCTCCCAATGCCTATTTTCCCTTTCAAAATTCACTGCACAGTGTAGTCTTGCATAGGAACCAACAATTTTGTTTTGTGATTGGAATCTGATGAAATTATGGCTTGCAGAGAGAAGTAGTTCTTTTTTCATTGCACGGCTCGCTCTTCAGTGGAAAAGGTTGCATTTTTTTTAAAGGAAGACACAAAGAACAAACGCAACGCTACCAGAAAAGAGGCAAGGGCCTCGTGAGATAAAAAAGAAAGCCATTTTCAAGTTGGGAGAATTCTGCGCAGTCGCCGCCGTCCTGTACAGCCGCCAAACGCCCGAGGAATCGGATAAACCCGAACGGATGGAACCTTGGCATCGAACGAAAATGGGACAAGGGCATGGGTTAGCCCAATTCGTCCAGTTTCCGCGACATGCAGTAATCACGCAGCGAGTGATACGGACGGAAATGCAGGAATGGTTTGAAGTCCTCCATTTCCCCCAGCACTCAATATTTCCTTCACCTTCTGGATCTAAATACTCTTTTTAATTGCTGCCCCTATCTGTCTCGTCCGTAAGCACGAACTCGAGCAGCTTCAACGCGCCATTCATCGAAGACCTGAACCGAGATGAATCGGTCAAGCATGGCTCGATTCCTGCGAGCGTGAGAGGTGGCAAGTCCCCGTACAACAACGCGGGTCGCGTTAGAACGGATCAGATCGTTTCGATTCCCTCTGGATAGGATCCACACTTGGAAGCGGAGCGGGGGGGGGGGGATGACGAACGCGGAGGCTATGGAGAAGGTCTTGGATTCAAAGAGCTCTTGCATGATTCCTTTGTTCGGTCATTTTTTCCGAGAAATTTCGGGGTTATCCAGGGGGGGGGGGGGGAGGGGGACATATTCTACTGAGATCTTAGAATCATTCTACGCAAATTGCTCAAATTTGGCCGTGCATTTGAATGGGGTTAACACCAGCTAAGCACCTTGCTAAGTGGGAAATCATACTTAAGAAAATGATAGAATATGGTCTTGGATCTCTACTTACTGGATGCAGAGCCATATACAGGTCCGCCCTTTCCTGGACAGACTGAGAAAATGTCTCGCACATCCACATCTAAGAAAATTTGCTTCGTTCCATAATGGTGTACGGTGCAACTTCAAGCACGAGGCTGTTTTCATCAGCCATTAGAGAAGAAAACCACAAGGAAAGTGGTGAACAAACACGGAATATTCGCCTAGTTTTATATGCAACGGAATCGACATTTAGGACACGGTGCCATTCCTATAAAATGCAGTCGCGTGCAAAGACGCCGTGCACGCGTAAAAGGCGAAACAAAAGAAAGAAGAAATTGCGATGGAAAGGAAGATTAGAATGACCTCCTCCTTCCTCCACACAAGTGCTCGAAGCGCTGGAGTGTTTATTTTTCCGCTTTTCACTGTCAGGATGCCGAAGGAAAGCAGACAGCACGGACAATTCTCACTTTGAAAGCGTTAAAGTGTGGGCGAAGTCTCTTTTCCTTGCGAGGGCGGTCTAGTACAATTGAGGCGAGATCCGAAGGAACAGTAGGGAATCCAAGTTAGACCTTTAAATTGAGTCCATGTCCTCATTTCTGATTTTTTTTTATAGGTCAGGTAAGTAAATCTCACGCTCATGACATATTGTGCCACGAAGAGCATTCCTTAATATACAGTATATTGCAAAGGGCATGCCGAAGTGAGAGTGCATGACGAAAAGTGTGTATATTGATAGTTTCGACTCTCGAACTTTCCCCCTATCCCTCCCTCCCCCTATTAGAATGCGAGGAATTCGTGTCACGGATTCGGTTACGGTCACTGAATATTGTTTTCGGTTATTCCTCGTCATGGTCAACGAATATCTCTGTCAGTTTCGCTGACAAACGATATTCGTCATCGTCACAGAGGATGAAATTAACCCAGGGTATGTCTTGAAATTGGCTGATAGGGTGCGGAAGTGGAAGGAAGCATGCATAGCCCTTGCTCTATGTCTGCTTCCAAATTGCCTCGAGATTAAAAGTTCGCCCAATCTTGATCTTCGTTGTAGTGAGGCTCCGATGGTATTGCCAAAATATAAGAGTTACGTTCTATTACCTTCATTAAAGGGGATAAATACTCATCAAAAAGCTTCAATCCCTGTACTACTCCAAATTTGTAAAATTTGAGGGCCAATTTAGATGAGGGATAGATGCAGAACCCTGGTACCATGCCGTTCCTGAATATTGTTGCAGACATTGACCCTGCTGCAGAGCGAGGACACAGGGGGACTGATCCTTAATGCCACGCACCTTGGCACCCTTCCTCAACTGCTCAGCCTGGACATTCAAGGATATGGAGAGATGGGTGACAGACATGTAAGTGGACACAGGAACACTACGAGTCGCCAACACAGGAATCGGAGCAAATCGACTCCAGAATTCGCTATCGAATCTGATGCCTGTAAACCTCTCAAAAAGCTTCAATTCCTGAATCTTCAGTTCGTGAAGCTCCTACCTGACCTCACCCATCACTTCACTGAGCCTCCATTCTCGACAGAAAAGGATGAAGGCTTGCAAAAGAAGCGAATTGGCGAAAATTTGCTTCCAGTCAAAAGCAACAAGGTTAGCAGTCAAACAAAGAGGTCGGAGGAGCTCCAGAAGATGGCGTACGAAATACACGAAAAACTAATCGTGCAGACGGAGCCACAGATCTTGCCATATGAGGAATACCTCAAGGCCATGGAACGGGGGAAGCATACTACCTTTGGCAACTTGACGTCTTTGCGCTACCTCCGCTTGTCACATGTCTCACTCCTCCAACCAAACTGGGAGATGTTTCAAGGGCTTGTTAATCTCACATATTTGGCCCTGACTCACTGCTCTATTGCGTATCTTTCACCGTTCCTCTTCTTTGGGGCAGGAAACCTGACGTATCTCTCTCTAGAAGACAACCAACTACTGGATCTGCGTATGGAGAGTTTAGCTGGGCTTCTGGAGTTGGATACACTCGTTCTGACCGATAATAAGATCGCCATGTTCTCAGATCTGTCCTTTCCCCCAATGCCAAAATTGAAAGAGCTCTACTTGGAAGGTAATCCCATCGACATGATCTTCCCAGGGACGTTCGATGTCTTTACCTCCATTCAGAAGTTGGAACTTGGTGGAATGCCCAGTAAGCTCCACCTTCTTCCTTACATGTTTAGTGGACTGAAGACCCTGGAACACCTGACAATCCCCAATGCCATCTCAGATTCCTTGAGACCAGACATCATGAACGGTTTGAAAAACCTCAAGTCTCTCAAGATTAGAGGATCAGTGAACAGCATCGAGTTTGACACGTTTGCCCAACTCCCTCAGCTGAGAGACTTGGATCTGAGCAATTGCAACATTTCTGACATGTCCATGGATTCATTTATGGCATTGAGCTCCCTCCGAACCCTTAATCTATCCCACAACGTCATTGAAACTCTTCCTCCAAACTTGCTTGACCCCATGACACTCCTTCGAGATATTGACCTCAGCCACAACCAACTAACTGGCACTCCCAATGGAACTTTTGACAAAGTTCACCCTAAAATGATCAAACTGGATGGTAATCCATGGTATTGCACCTGTAAAATGTCGTCTTGGAGACGTAGAATAATCACACGTAGCAAATCGCCAATCCAAGAGGACTGCCGAACAATCCTTGGAGTGAAGATCTGCACCCGCAAACCCATCAAGTATTTTCATGATCCAGAGGTCGAGCCAGAGTGTGCTATGCCAAAGGAACTGAAGGGTATGAAAGTGTCTAAGGCATTGAAGATGCTCAAGTGTGACATGGATGATCATGATGATGATCTGGAAGAGAATCTTTCTCACAAGGCTCGCAAACTCCAGCGGGAGATCAAGCTGAAGAAGATTCATCCCAAGACTCATGACTTCCTTCATAGGGGGCATGACCAACCATGACAAACTGAGTACAAACTGTGCTTCCCTTCTTTCTTTTCCACTGTTCTGCAATCTCAAAAACTCATGAATAGATGCTTTTGAATGAAAAAAGAAAAAGTGACTGATTTACTTTGAGTGAATGTGATTCTCAAGCTCAGAGAAATTCAACTTCATGTATGAGGTTCAAGTATGAGCACCTTCATTGATCAAGCATAATATAGTAGAAAGCTGCAACTGAAGATCCATTCCTAAGCATGAATCTAAATAAAACATGCCACTAGGGGCATTCAGGAAGGCACAATTTCACAAACACAGGGTTGTGTAAGTTACCTACAAGAAATTGCAACTAGTAAAACCTAATGTTTCATGGCAAAAATGGCATCATTGGGTTTGACTTCTGGTAGCCAATCAAAAACAGACTTGAGACTTCATGTCCCAATCTGACCATATCTGAAAGTTTGTACTTTTGCCTAAAACTGCTCAAACTCAACACTGATTGCAATCCATCCAGATTTAGAAAGTCTCACAATGTTAGACCACCAGCATATATTCTGAATAGCTCCTCATGTTTTTTGCACTCAAATTCCAATCTGCCACATCCATTTCTCTTCTCTTTCCCTTGTTGTCTGACATAAAATATAAGAAAGAAGACCCAAAACCAAAAACTGAGAATCTCTCTCTTGCAGAACCAAACAAATCTCAGGTTGGGATAGTCCTGGTCACCCTGTAGCTATGAAAGCATTCAGAAGGTTTGCACTGGGAAGTCACATGGTGACAACAAGCATGACTTACAATTTAAATTCCCTTATTTTTCAACTTTCCAGATATTAATCATTCTTTGTATTTACTTGTTTCAAATCCAATAATTATGCTTTCATTTTGTGGTTTTCTTGAATTAAAGTACAGATACTAGGGTGAGTACTGAAAAAGCAAAGTCACTTTCTTTTGGGTGAATTGGAGAATGTTAAAGGGAACTGTTACTTCATGGGGAAAATAATATGCTACGTGTACTAGCAATTGGAACTTGAGCATTGTGCCACCCAACCCTGTAATCAACATTTTCCTCCAATATTTCATGACAGCAGTGGAGCATTCAAACAATCACAAGTGACAAGGGCCATCAAGGTTATGCTGATCAAAACCAGCTGGCACTGGCAAGTGTACTTTGAGGAAGGATTGCAATGAGGAAGAATTATATGAATGAAAATAGTTTCCCCTGAATAAATTCACATCAGGTATGGTCTGTAAATTCAAAGAAGAGCTCTGCCAATACAAGTCAAGGACATGGAGTTTTGGGATTAAACTGAAAAGTGGAAGGGAATGCTTGGACAAATTTAACAAGTGTAGGGGGAGGAGAGCACAAAGAGTAATGGGGAAAAGATTTATATATATTTCTTTACCTTTTCCCTTTTCCTTCTGCAGGACATTTACTGTTTGTGGGGCAGGTAACTGAAATTTGGGACAGTCCTGCAAAATCCAGAATGGCTGGTCATGCCACTCAACAGGTGATTTCATTGTGGCCCAAAAAATAAGGGTCTCAAAATGGGCTAACACTCCAAATTCCTAAAAAGTGTAATAGTACTAGGCTAGCAAATATCCTTGTTCTAATGGCGGCCACCCATGATGATATGAGTGTGGACATTCCAGTGCTTTCACTGAAGCAGAAATTCTGACTGTACACTATACTGTATGTATACAGTGACTATCACTGTTATAGAAACTCCCTCTTGAGGTAGGCTTCTGATACCTTCCATCAGCTCAATATCATGAGCTTTCATAGTTCCATTCAGCTTTAATGAGGGGAAGGATACTAAGATGACAGCAGAGCCTGAGTCCAGCAGCTTGGAAATAGATGGGATATTAGTATATAATCATTTATGATGCCATTGGGAAGAGGGCTGAGAGAATGTTGGGCTAGGGAAGAGATACTACTCCATTTTTCCAGAATTCCATTGCCATTAGGTGGGTAGACAATTAAGGATAATGGGGGGAGAATAATGGTGAATCTGAGCTGTCAAATAAGTGTGAAATACTTCAATATGGTCATTAAAGATCAGAGATCAAAGACCAGGGAGGTAGCCACAATGCACAGCTCTTCTTTGAACATACAGATCATACCAGAAACATAGGTCACACCCAAAAAATATAAAATACGCAAAAGCATGAAATTGGTATACATCATTTATCAACATGATACACCACCTCTCTGAACAGGAATTAATTTTCCAAAATCTAAAAAACAAAAATATGATAAAGCATTCATGATATGATACAAAATGGATATTATTCTGCATCAACTTGACTTTCACTAAAAAAAATACTAACTATAGAACAAGGATAACTGTAGGGATTAATGGCATCACAATTCAGGCAGGATGTAGTTGAAGGCCTTCATGGTAACCTCAAAGCCAAGGAAGCATGCAGCATTGGCAGGAAAAGCTCGGAGCATTACAGGTACAGTACCCTTGTACATAGCCCTGATTCCTTCTTCTCTCATAGCATGGGCAAAAACATCACGAATGCCTCTTGGATACATCCCCTCAGGTGCTGTCAAAGAAATTACAAATTCTTATTGAAGCTGCACTGCCTACATGGAAAGTTTTTCAAGTTTTATAGGGTTAGGTGAGGAGACAGACCAGTTTGTAGTCTGGACTTGAGGACATCGGGGGGAATGGCAACAAGCCAGTTGAACACACCAGCCATACCACCAGCAAAGAGGGTTCTGCCAACACTCAAATTTGTTCGACTCCCTCCTTCTGGTGTGAGGACCTGCTGCAGCCACTCATACGTCATGAAGTACATTCCTGACGCTGGAATATCTATAAAGATTTAAAATAAAGGGGTATTTGAAGGCAGAAGGGACTGAGGAATTCAGGAGCATTGACACTTATACTCTCTGGACAACACACAGAAGGATTGGAAGAGTGGAATTTGGGGATCATAAGTGAACCTTGCATTGTAATGGCAACCAGGACTGAGAGAGGATGTAAGAGAAGGCTAAACAAGATGAGAAAGTGAGTACCACTGACCTCGAAGAAGAGTTGCACATGTTCCCTTGTATATGCTTCTTATTCCACCTTCCCTGTAAAGCTTCTTCGCTACATCTACAGGGCCTTTGTATTTTGGGGGACCTGTTGAATGTGACTGGACCTATAAAATCAAAATATAGTAAGTACACCAGGAATCATAAAATAAAGAAATGCCACAAAATATTTATTTTCCTCACTTGAAGAAGGCACTTTATACGTTCGCCTGGTGTCATGATGGCTGTGGTGAACACCCCTGCCAAGGCTCCAGCATTGAACAACTGGAAAAGTGTTAGCTTATCATCTGGATGCTTTTTCTGGAGCTTCTGTCCAAGGCCAAATCCAAAGAAGCAGACAGCAAACATGGGGGTGACACCAGCAATAGGAGCCGCCATCCCTAACCAGAAAAAAAATCAATTTACTGGTTGAAGAATGATGTTCATTTTGTTCCTAGTCATTGCACTTTAGCTGATACTTGTCCAGGCAAAAAATTACCCTTAACCATAAGCAAATGGCACAGAAGGTGTGGAAGAAGTGCTTTGCACTACTCCTCCTGATAATTGATACAATTCTGACAATTGAAACAGAAACAGGAACAAAACAATGGGATAATGGAGATCGATACTCTAGAATCAACACTTTAGGATGTTTACCAATACTGGAATCAAAACGTGTGCTAAATTATATCAGAGGCTTTTATCATTTGTGTGATGGGGGCAGAATCAGGCTGCTGTTGGGACAAGGACAGAAAGGAGCCACTCACTACCTTGCATGAAAGCCTTTGAAAATTGCCCTTAAGACTTTCATTTAAAAAATCAGAGCATATAAGTGTGTCATATCTAGACTACAAAATTCAATCTCCTAGTATATTTTTTGTACACAGAAATACAGATTGAATAATTGGGATCATGTATCAGCATGATGCATGTTATCCTGGTAACCATGAACTCACATATCTTTCTTAACCCTTACGGTGCCGGAATAGATTAGAACGACGTTACGAATCTCGCTGAAAAACGCCAGAGTAGAGGAGTTGGCACTAATAGGGCTGAAGTTTGAGAAGAACCGCGATCGCGCGCTCGGACTAAATACGTTTCTTAACCATTTTATCCGACTCTGGCATTTATTCAACTAAATTCGTAGCGTCGATAAAATCGATTCTGGCAATATGAGGGTTAACCAATCACTAAATACCAGTTTCGATTCATCACTGACACATCCCTTCATGTTCTTCACGTGTCAAAAAAATACAGACGTCTCGGACAAGTGGGGGTGAACTTCCAGTCACGGCGAAGGAGGCAGTCGCGGAAGTAGACTTGGTTACAAGTAGCTTGGCAAGTAGATACTTGGTTCCAAGTTCGGATCAGTTTTCAGGTGGTGATAGAAAAGGATCAAGGGAGGGGAAAAAAAGGGGGGGGGGGGGGGAAGTGAGAAGCACCTACAGTTCTTTTTCTCACTCTTCCCTCGCGGTCCCCCCCTCCTTTTTTTTTTTTTGCACCTTCAGTATGGAGAGGGATAACTTAAAATTCTGACTTCCGCTCGCAGTTTTATTTCCATATTTCTAATCCCGCTACCCAAAAGATTTCGCTCTTCATCATGAACTGCTGGAAACTCCCACGCAAAAACCGGGCAATGCTTCATGTTCATAACTGTCATCCTGTCATAACCTATCATCCTGCTAGCATAATTACGGAGAAAAATTTATCGGAACAGAGAATCAGCAATTCAACCCAATCCGAGCATCGTACTTAGTTTATCCAGGTTAGCCTCAGCGGTTCCTTCGCTTTCTCTGCCGTCACTCAGCGCTTCAGGCGATGAAGGGGAGATTCACGCCTCCTGTCTAGGGACTTTTTTTTTTTCTTCCAAGTTCGCATTTCTCTCTCTCTCTTTTTTGCACCCTCCCTCCCCCCCGATCGATCGATACAGCGACGAGTAGGGTCCGAAAGGTTTTCATGTTTGTTCATTGCGTTAAATGTAACGGGAGAAAAAGATTAATTCCTGTACCTTGCTGCATTCCCCCTGCGGACTATTTCCCTAACGCATAGTAAAGTATATAGTAAAACTTGAGTCCAATTTATTTGATGAAAATTCCGAAATGGGCAGACCCAGCGCCTTCTTTTTGAATGGGACATGAGCGTCACTTGTCGCCTCCCGTCCAACTATGAACTGGAGTAAGGGAAATCAATACAGGGCGGAGATCGATTATGAACTGCAACTGGGAAAATAATCATGTTGGAGCCTGTTCGAGAGTCTCATCGAGGGCTTATTTGGAGAGGAGACATCCTCCTTTTATCTTACAGCACAAGTTCAAGTGGGAAGCGTGTGAATGAAATAGTGTCAGAGAAAGTACTCGGGTCTCTATCTGGAAGTCTCGTAATAAAGGTTTTCGAATTCAATCGGTTGACCGAATAGTTTACATTTACTCGCAAGTGAATCACGCGAAAATTGCGAAGCTTTTTTTTTATCCTCCTTTATCAGATCCCATTGAACAACACGAAGACTTTGTATTCGATTACCAACGACTGCCTGGAAAAAATTTTTGAGTGATGCATCACCACCGGACCAGAATATGGAATGTGTTCATTCATAGAAATTTCGAAAGACAGCTAGGATGGCCGAGTGGTTAAGGCGCCAGACTTAAGATCTGGTCCTCCAAGGGAGGGCGTGGGTTCGATCCCCACTCCTAGCACTTCCTTTTTTTCTGTTCTCAAGGTTCATGGATCCCTTCCTCTCTAAAATTAAAACCCGGTCATACAGGTAAAAGATAATGTGTGTAGGAGAAATTTGAGGAGGTGGAGCAGTTTGATGTCTCGGATTTTAATTGCATTTGCCGCGTACGTTCCTTTCCGTGAGTTACTGAACACTCGTAATTACCTCAGAAATCGTCACCTTAAAGATTGAGACTTGGGGAATTTCTTCCCTTGGCGCCACAGCTTCAAGAAGCACGTGAATGCTATAAATTTGCTACATGAACATAACTAAAAAAATTTAAGAAGTGGATTTCATGGGCACCAAAGACTCTCTTCGAAAAGGTTTCATATCTTTCTGTAGTAAGATCAACAGGACATTCAAAGCTGCATATACGTTGGAAAATGAACCAACTTTGGATTGTTATATGTTGCTACTTGAACGAAATTGGATTATACCAAATGAGGCAGAGACGATGTCCTCTTACTGCATTAAAATTGGTTAAACACAGTTATAGCAATGAAGAAAGCCTGGACCCAGCCTAAAGCCCACAGGATACATGTCCTTATGCCTCACTTACAATGAGCTTGGTTATTACAAGAACCTAGGTTATAATGAAGTCTATTTATGGCCCTATTGAAATTGAGAACCTTGCAAGGTACTTAATTCATCATCATCCATCACCAGTTATGAGAATTTCCACTGTCAGGAACAAGACCATAGGCAAACCATAACTTCCACTTCCCTGGAATTTGCATTCCTTGAAGATCTCTTGGGTGTGACTGCAAAAGGGGGGAGTAATTTCCAGATCATCCAACCTTTCAGTGGCCATTCTTATATCTTGATGACAACATGGTTAGAGAATGTCGACAGGGATGTGAAGAAGAAGGATATGATGTTCAAGAGTCCATGCCAACATCATATGAAGCTCTTCAAGTGGTGAAAGTGTTTTTACACTTTTCTTAAATTATAAATTGAAGGGCTGAAAAGCAAAGTGGTCTATCTGCAAAAAATTATTTCCTGGAGCTTCACACGAAATGAGTGAATATTCCAGTGACCCTCATGTTAAATTTGAGAAAAAGTGGTATGTATCGATAGATCACTTCATCCTTTACATAATTCCAAAAAACTATAATTTCCTATGAAAGGAACAAGGCCCTATAAAAGTCCAAAACCAGCGACACTTTTTTCTGAAATTTTTTGCAGATAGACCACTTTACCTTTCAGCCCTTCAATTGTACAATGTGGCAGTGTTGCAGTGTTCAGGACAGTTGGAAGAGTATTTTATTGGGATGTGCAAAGGAAGCAATGCAAACCTGGTTTATTAGTTTAGTAATAAGTATGACTGATACACCTGAGTCATTGCATACAGCATATTTTTCAAAACACAATGGAATGTAAATAAAGACACCCTTGTTTATAACAAACTTAGGCCACGATGCTGCTTTTTTTAAACGGCCCCTTCAATGACATAACCGAGTTTGACAGTTATGCCTTTCTAAAGGAACAACCTTTTTGGAATAAAAGGTTGTTCCTCTAGAAAGGAGCTGGCCATTCTGACTGACTTCAGCACCCTCTGACACTTTGCTGCTAACTAATTATTAATTTGCTGCTAATTGAGCTGATCAAACTATGTCTATGGCTTAAATCTTAACCATTTACTGAAGCACAAATATTTCAACAAAGATTGTCATTTTCACAGTATGTATTTCAGCTTTGCCATCCAAAAATCCATTATAATGCTTTATTAAATGAAAAAATCTTCAAATGCCACAAACCCAACATATCATGCAAATCCACTAATCCAGCCTGACTCCTAAAGAAAATCTGGTGGGAGGCAAAGTGGTCCCAAAATGATACTATAATCTAGTATCCTATCAGAATACAATACTTCTGGAAATGAAGTTCTTTTCATTTAGAAGGCTTTTTTTAATTAATACTTTCTATAGGAAAATTTTTTCATAAAAACCTTTTATAAAAAAAGTTTTAAGAAACTGGCAAGGTTTACCATGGCCTTATCAGTATCATTTTCCAACTGTCAAGAGAATGGAATGAAAGCTAATGTGACTAAGACAGACCTTTGTAGAGGCCAGTGACCCCCTCCTTCATGATAGTCTTCTTTGCACAGTCCCAAGTTCCAGTGTAAGCAGGAAGTTGGCCTGGGGGTGGCTTGGGCATTGTCTGCAGTCGAACCTGATGGCCCCAATACCCACCACATCAATCTCAGGAATGCTATCAAGAAGAAATTATTGTTCCCTGACACCCTTACCTTGATGGTATCAAGCGGCTGTCCAGTAAATACTGTGCAGACTCCACCCACTCCACCAGCAAGGAAGTTCTTGACAAGTCCCAAGTAATGCTTGCTTGAATCATTATGTTTATCACCCATTTTTCTAATTTTTACTCATTCACTCACCTCACCCACCCAAATCTTTGAGCAAAGAAATAAAACCCATCCATAGGAGAAATTATGGTCAATTATTTAAACATAAAACTTCACATTTGAAGAACATGACAGGCAGCAGCATTAGGCAACAAGACTTAAAACAGCATAGTGTATCACAAAATTGTATCTTTCACACCGATGATTACTGAGTTTGCAAGAAAACCTCAACTTTCATCTGTTAGTAGATTCGGTTGGCTCTCCATGTTTAATTCTGTCGACAGAAAAACTCTCAGATGCCTAAATACTAGTCCAACTCACTTGAAAATATAGAGGTTCTGGTTAACTGGTGAAAAATCAACTTTTGTTTCTGGTCCATCCTATTGTACCGACTGTTTTGACCAGCCCTGCATATCTCTCAGATGGATTATTTCTCACTCGGTGGAAGACAGATTAACTATGACTACGATATGGATGATATCCACTGAAAAGTTGGGGATCTTAAACTGTGCTACACCTAGGCACGGGTATGCGACGCGTCACAGGGGCCTTCCTCTTCGAACAGCCCCACATAGCATGCAGTAAAACATGGGCTGGACTGGTTTCGAACTTGAGTCCCTGTCTGTGAATTCAAGGCCGCTACCAACTGAGCCATCCCGATTCCCGAAATAGGATGGTACATCAGATTCCAAAGCGAACACGAGGGGACGAGGTGGAACCGCTCATGATGCCAGAAGAAAAAGCAACATCTATGTTATTTCGCTACGAATTCTGAAAATTTTTGCGATTAACAAAGAAAATGCACACAGAAAGTGTTAAAAGACTGTTGTATGGAAACAATGACGCTTTACCAGGCGTCATTGTCGAGATAATATCATGGAGACATAAATTAGTATCTTGTTTACATGCTTCCCGTAATCAGCCTCTCGGTTGCTATGGACGCGCACAACTTGCCACGTGGGATGAAGTTCCTAGCCGGCTTGATTATATATTTTGCAGTTCTGATAGGTCTCTTCGAGTTCTTATATGGTATCAACCCTCATCTTTTCATTGATGAAAAGTTCCACGTCCTTCAGGCTCAGAGATATTGCAATGGATCCTTCTTCGAGGTTCGTGATCACACGCCGTGGGTTTATTTGCCTATAGCCTAAGTCTTCATATGGCATACTGCCGATAGATTGCTTTTTGCATTGACAACCTGGAAAAATCAACAGCAGAAAAGCATGCAACGGATCAAGCTTAACGGTGATTTTCGATTGATTGCACCTCCCCAATCCCTTTCTGCATGGGACCAGATGTCAAATCTACTGTCTCGATATACCTGCACTTGGATAAATCAGTGACTGAAGTAGAATTAAGAAATACCCGCTTCCACCGCAGTAGGGGGGAAGGCAATCAATAAAAAATAACTGTATTTATACCAATGCCATAGCTCTATCTGTTTAAAAATTATTTGGTTGGTAAGCTATGGAGATACTTGGGACCCAAGTCAAATAATGCTAATTGCCCTTTTATCTTGTACTTAGGCTCCAGGCTATTCATGCAGAAAAATGATGAAAATGTTATAAAAAATGTTGAAATTTGTATGTTTGTAAGCCATAAAATCCCACAATAGGAAACCATGAATTGCCCATTGGGCACTTCTGCCAAAAGTACAAAGGTATTCAATTCTGTAGTGGTTTTTGCTTGTGTCAAGACAGTTTGTCACTTCACTCCGACACCTGTGCACAGGATATTCCTTATGCATGAGTGTCTGAGTCAAATGGAGAATTGTTGTACTCAAGTGAAAAATACTATATCATGAATATAACAGGCATGGATATGGCTGCCTCTACAATATACATCCTAGTTCTGATGCTTGATGACTAAGGAGGACTAAGGCTGTGATCTGACTTATTTTAAAGTAGTTTAATGTGAGCACAGTTTTTAAAATTTCTAGTTTAAAATACATACAAAGAGCAGAACATGCCAAAAAATTATTTTGAAATAATTTTTTTTAGATTTAACTGTTAAGATAAGTAGCATTCATTTTCCTGCAATAAATCACTAGTAAAATTTGTCCATCCAAGGGAAAATTTTTCCTGAATAAACTGCTTCTAACTATTGCCTTACCAAAAATTGATCCTACAGATGCATAATTTATATAATCAGCTGCACTGATTCTCTACCAATACCTCAGCATATCCCAGTGCAATCTATGGAAAGAATGTGTGCTAGGCCAAAATGAAATAAATGACTCCTTGTTGCCAGTGGGATCCCAAAATCACCACACCTCCAGGACTTTACCTGATAGCAGTTGGAGTTCTGAATCCTCTGGGATGGATTCTGGATAAAAATCTCTGTACTCTGCATTCATTTAGACTCCTTAATGTCTTTGCTTTGGTCATCCATGTCTACCTCTTCAAAGTCATCTTGGACATCCAAGTAAGGACATTTTTTTTGGTATAGTTGTTTGGGAAGAGCTTGTGTCCATGTCCTGCACTCCTTTGCAGATCCCTCAGGCGAAATCAAGAAATGCAATATCAGCTTTCTCCTTGGGTCTCTTCCCAATTCAGTTCACATTTTCCTTTTTCTTCTATTCAGATGCCTTTTCAACCTTGTTGATCCTATTAAGCTTCACATTTTACCTGAAGAATTGGCATATCCCTGCTGCAGTTTTTGGTAAGTTCCTTCAATTCCTTTTTCAATATTATGTTCAATGTGTGCCTTTCATAATTGTGTGGAAAGGAATTCGTAACCTGTCAAACCTTTTACCTGGAAGGAGTGGAAATTCTTTATGGATGGATGTTTTGTGATCTTCAATGCATATACAGGTGGGTGTTCTGTTTTCCTGAGGCAAACAAATATTCTGTGGATCTTTCTCATGGGTTTCAACACACTTGCAAACAACTTGCTCAAGGTTCTATATCCAAAACCACCCTCAAAAGACATCATCTGTTCTGCATCAATTCTCAAGGTATCCTCGAATCTTACCTGTAACAATAATAATGCAAGGTAATAGTGGAAGTGCCTAGCATTCACAAGTTATCCTTTTTTTCATATATAGGACTTCATGAGGAGGTTATGGATGAGAATGTGGGTATCATCAAAGAAGACCACTCAGAAAAAGTCTACACCACTAAGTCATGTTTTGCTGAAGATATTTTTGGATTTGTGTGGGTATGTGCTCATTGGAATTTCCTTCCTAATATTCCTCTATTACAATGGAGGAATAGTTCTGGGTGATAAATCAGCTCATGCTCCAGTCCTTCACATTCCACAATGGTTGTATCAAACCTTCATCATAGCTTTCTTTCTCACTCCCTTTGTAATCACAAACTTCAAGTCCATATTGATGTATATGAAGGAACGATTGCATTTCTTCATTGCTCTCTTGATCCTTGCAGTTCTGGCACTAAAATTCAATTCTCATGTTCACCCCTATCTACTTGCTGACAACCGTCACCTTAGCTTCTACCTTTGGAGACGTATTTTTGAGCCATGGAATATTTTCCTTGCTCCTCTTTATGTCTTTTTTGTGTTTGCTCTTCACTTTCTTATATGTCATGAAAGTTTCTTCTTCCAAATTACTTTTTATGCTTGCTCAATTCTGACTGTTGTCCCACAGAAGTTATTTGAGTTTCGATACTTTGTGTTACCTTTCTACTTTCTTCGCTTGCACCTCCGCCGAGGTTCATGGATCACTGTGTTACTGGAGCTGCTTGGATTTCTTGTGGTTGATATGCTTTGGCTATTTTTGTATGTCACTAAGTCCTTTGATTGGGCAGACGAAACTTACCCACAACGGATTATTTGGTGATGTTTGAATAATAAAGGTTTATTCCATTTTTGAGCTTAGATGCCAAGACAAGTTTTACTAGCACACCATTGTATTTCTCCAAGCTTTAAATTTTTATTACATTTACACAAATAAACAGAATTCAAAAAGGAAGGGGGGAGACACCAGACTCAAGGTGTCATTTCTTCTTCCATCACCTTAGCCATCCATTCTGGAGCTACACTGGCAATGCGTTCAACAATCTGGTTCACCTGACCACACAGTGATTGGATGCTTCTGTCCCAGTTCCACATTTCCTTTCGAGCTAAAAGCAAACAATCATGGCTGCTTAGAATAAAAGCAATATTCAGATTTGTGGAGGCTTAAGACATAGCAAAGAAAAACTCACATTCAAAATAAACAATCCCATCAATCTGGTCAATGTGACCAGACATCCGTCCCTCGGAGATCATCTGACTAGCTATCTTCTCTGCTCGATGAGGAGGTATTTCAAGCAGTGAGCCCAATTCTTGAAATGTGATGTTGTTGTAAAGCTTGGAAGCACTTAGCAGATTATGCTCTATCACAGCATGTTCCAAGATTGTGGATCCTAGAAAGCAACAGGTACCACAATGCATTAAAAATATATATCCACACTTAGTTGGGTAAAATATTTTCTTGCTGGAAAATTTATCTGGCCACATTCCTCTAGAGGGTGTTAAAAAAAATGAACTTGTGAACATTTCATAGGCACATAAAAAAAATTAGAAGTGATTCAGCAATACAACAATAAGCACTTGTTTTATTATCAATTTGCTGCTTCCTCCCCTAAGATACAAATCTGCATCATTATTCCTCTCTTCAACCTCTCATCCCTAGCAAATGACATTGCTTCCAGAACTCACTTACTCATTCCTCTTCAGTGACACAAGAGCTGCTAATTTGTCATTGAATCCTTGAACTGATAGAAATTAGCATTGAGATCATTTTGCTTAAAATACAGCAGCCTGTGTGGCTTTGTCCCTACCAATGATTTTCCCATGAACAAATGAAGAGATATGATAACGGTGCTATACTTAGCCTGGATCTCACCCTCTAGAGATATTGTCATTTCATTTCAGATTTCAATGGCTATAAAGACTGATAAGGCCTCACCATCAGCAGTTGTGGCTTTCTGATGCTCCTGTAGCATGGCAGCAAACTCTTCCAGCTCTGTCTTCTTGATGATTCGATCCAAATACATCTTCTCTAAGATTGAGAATGCAGGCAGTTGTTGGCACCGTTCATCTTTGAATAGTGTAGCCAGCATACGAGACCTTTGTTGCCCTAAAATAACACAAAGCATGAATATAATATAAAGGTTGAGTAACAAAATGGTACATAATTTTGTTACATTATGGTCTCATCCGTAGACTACTTGTTTGCTTGCTAAAATCTTTGGATATGTTTTTTTTCCAGTCTCCAAATCCTCACCATCTTTTTTTAGAGCCACAAGAAAGACTATTTTCCTGCAATATTTTCAGTGCAAGAACATCATGAGATGTTACCAGATCATACTTCAAAATACTGAAAAAACTTGTATGACACTATTCTTTTTGTTGGGTTTGATGAACAAAGGGTAGCCATGAGCACATGACATAATTTTCTTCTTTTTCTTTTCCCACATTAACCTTCATAACAATGAGAGTACATTACTCTCCATGTAGTGAGGGAGAACTGCAGAGAAAATCTAACCATAATCCACATTGCTTTTTCTGATTGCTGGTCCTGTTTTCACTGCTCCTAAGTTTCCCTCATAATTTCCCAATGGAATTTCCCACAAGCACTTGTTCTGATGATAATGAAAGAGTCAATCTGTTGTGAAAAATTTAACTGCAACTTAGCAAATCTTGAAGCACCAGTAATTCATTTGAGGAAATGAAATCCACAGAGTAAAGTTTGGTTAATCCAAAGGAACTAAATGCCATTACAAGCGTGGTTTTTTTCATGAGATGTTCCAAAAATTTACGTGCTGTGCATCAAGTATGGTGTGCTGCAAGGGAGAATGAAGTTAGATTGGCCATACAGGTATTGGCTGATACTGATACTTTGGATTGGTATTGGTGCATCCCTAATTCCAGTACCCTGTATGCCAAGTGATGCATGGGGATTCAATTTTTCAACTATAATACTCTTGCTTCACATTTAGTTTTTCTACCTGAAATTTTATTGTTTTTGTTCTGCCTATCAATACAGGGAATGTGCTCCCAACTCTGCCACTTTTGATTAATTTTGTTCCCTTACCCTCATGAAGGATCATGAGGTAAACAGAACTCCTGTACTGCTCTAAAGGTTACATGTTGAGCTTGGAAGGACTCCCCTGGAAAAGAATATTCTTTTTTTCTCATTTGACAAGTGGCTTAAGTAATGCAAAATTATTGAGATTGTGCCAAAATAATGGAAAAATTTGGTTCAATCTTTTGAATGACAATTTTCTTTTGAAATCAGTTTTCCCTGAAGTTTTACAAATCATTGCATAACAAAATTGTTGATGACATCCATCAATGAACTAACCAGGAATTGGGATTCATACTGATTCCCAGTTCTCAATAACTTATTGAGAACATTATTTTTATCTTCTTCAACTCTGACTTACTTTTCCTTTGAATGAATCAAGCAAGTTATATAAACTTCCCTAATAAATGTTGTATGATTGTCCTTCTGCTGATAAAATACTATTTAGTCTTGAAGTTCCACTCCAGGTCTGCTAGACTTGGGTTTAAGATCTAAAACTTCTTATTATGGGAGCCAAAGGGTCTTCAAAAGTAAACATCTCAATTTTTATCCATGATACACTACCTGAAAAAGCACTTTCCTTGAAGGAAATTCCCCCCCTGCTACTGTATGGAACAGTTACAATGATATGGCTGTACTTTAAGACTATTGAAATGTAACAATAAGGTAAAATTGTCTCCTTAAATTCAGATGCTATGAAAATTAGCTCATATTTCAAAATAGAGCTGGAAAAAATTTCATGTGGTGGCATAATCATGGTAACCTGAGAATTTTGGAAAACTTCTGCTACATGCCAAGTCAATGACATGGGTATGGGCATAAAATACAAAAGTACAATGATCATTTCAATAGACATCCATATTCTCCCCTAGAAATTCACTTCTCCATCCATTTGCACATGAGATTAATAAAACTGGGAAAAAAATAAATATAGCAAGACTGGGAAGCAACAATTTTTAACAAGGATCCGGTCACAACAATTTTACCTGCAGCAGCCAGAATTGTGCAGATGAGGGCATTCTTCAATGCTGTCATCCTCTCACTCTCAGCAATGACTCCTCGATAAGACAGTTCATTGTATCGCTGAGCTGCCTCAATAAACTTTCTCCTGTAATCCAGAACTCGAGCATAGCACACTTTGTAGTAAATCTGAAGCTGTTCATTTTTTGATTCTGCCTGTTGAGGAAGCAAACACCATGACAAGGGTATAATAATACAGGATAAATGCATTAAGCAAGATACTGCAGAATATCAATAGGCCTACCTGTAACAATGAAGCTCTGTTGATGTATGCTTCAGCTTGAACAGGATCATCATCTTCTAAATACAGTCTGGCAATTTTCAAGTATGTCTCCAACTTATAGTCCACTGAATACTGCCTGCAGAAGAAAATCTCATTTCAACTATGTCTAGTCTCGTAAAATCCACTAGAGTTCATTCAATGCTGTCAAGCTCACTTTTGCCCCGTTTCCAATGGTATTCCCACCAAGATGGAGGCAGCTTCTCTCCAGTCTTGCACTTTCTCATAAATTCCTGCTAAATGTTGTCTGATGGCTGCCACTTGCTCTTCAAAAGATATTACTCGTGGTTGCACCTAGAGTTGCAATTTTCACGAGAAAACAATTTCAATAAAACACTTACTGCCTTGAAAAAATGAGGAAAAACATGTCACTTTACTGTAAATACCACTTTGACAATGCTACATCAACCAGATTTACATATCAACACAAGTCCTCCCCCACTTGATGCATTTAGTTCATCTAGCTTCAATGGTTTCTTCTGGCAGGGAGGGAGCCATGTTATTCTCTTCTGAGACAATAGCCAACCTGTTCACTCAAAACCTAAGGCTATTTGATATGAATAAATACCCCTTATATATAAAATGATCCTAGGAATTCTACTTTTAAAATGTTCCAAGTAAGATTAACAGGCTAGTGGCATTAATTTCAACAATGCTGGTATTTTGAAAAAAAAAAAGAGCAAAGATCTGAGTTTGAAATTTGACTTAAAATCATTCCAGCTTTTTCCTTAGTTCTTTCTTTTTCAACTCTTCAGAAACATTATTTCCTTAAAAATATTTTGCACTCAACTCCAGTTGCACTTGCATTAAAATGCATACCAATACCTCTCTGTGAAAGCTACAAAAAAGAAAAATAAGTCATTACTTCATTAAAAAGGGCATAATCACCTTTTCAAGTGCAAAATGGGAGATGTCCTTTGAAACAGGATCAGGCAAGTGTGTGAGCTTGGCAGTCACAAGGGACAAAACTTGCCGAGAGACAACAAGGCTCACATTTTCATTTACCACTGAAAGTGAAAATACAAGAAGCTCATGTCATTCCAATAACCCAATCTCAAGATCCACACTGGGAAATATTATAGCAGGTAACATCAAGAAATATAATTTAACACACCTCTCTCAATATATTCCTTGAGGAATTCCAGGCATTGTGACTCTGGTGATCCCAAGATCTCATTCAGCAAGGCTGTATACCTGCAAAACAAAATGTATAGATGAAACAGGAGCACTCCAGGATATCCATCATCACCAATGTGATTAACACATTGACTGCCACAATAATGCTGGCCTATTGATTTTCCCATTCAGTGAGGTGCACCGGTGTGCCTCATGGTGGTCAACCTGTTAAAGACAATGGTGGTACATGCAAATCAGAAGTGACCTGAAAATACCTATTTGAGAGTTCAGGCTCCAAACTTTTTGTTACTATATGAACTTAATGAACTATTCAGTTAATCAACTGAAGTTCAGGAAAAGTTATCAAGAGAGAAAATCCTTTCTAAAGGGATATTTCTGGGTGAGACTGAAGCTGCTTCTTCTTCTGAGGCTACCTGTTATATCCACCAATTAAGGACTCCTATTCAAGGATGAAGGAAGGGCATTGCTTTTCCACAAGCACTTTCCCCCACATAATACCATATTAGGAAGAAGAAAAAAAGGAGGCAGTGTGATAGGGAGATGTAAATAAAAGGGGGGGAAAGGGGACTGAAGATAAAAATAGAATGGCATTAACTTTTTTCCATATATTTTTTGCAAATTCTGTTATGTCAATTAGTTATGCCGGAAATAGTTTTTTGGCAACCAAAAAATGGCACATCTGCATCAGGAAAAATGTACCTGCTTCTTGGCAATACCCAGATGTTCCCTTTCCCAATCCTGGAAAACACATGCATATTTTCTTGCCATGGAGATTTGGGTGGGGATTGTATAATTGCAGTTAATCAAAGCTGAAATTTACTAACTGGCTAGGAAGGATTGGTTGGTTACCCAATTACCTGGGTAATTGTTGAGGCTCCTAGATCTAACACATGTCATAGTGAATCTCATGACAGAAATACATATCCCATGATTATTTATGAATCTGAGAAAATTGACAATTCACAAAAATAAAATTATAACTCATACTTAAATTAGGGCCAAAAAAATGTTTCATGTTTCAATGTTGCATAACCTTTGTTCTGTAAAAAAAAAAAAAAAATCAATGTCTAATAAAATGCTAATGATAAAATATCTCAGGAAGTTTTATCCTATTCTTCCAGGTAAACAATGGCCCAACCATTCATTGGAACAGAGAATAACTATTGTTGAGAATCATGTTGAAACTAAGTCTGTTACTTGGGTACAACAAGCTTTCAAGAAGCAAAATCCTGCCCAAGATGCACCATCAGCATTGACAATCATCACTCCAACATCATTCTGAAGTGGAGGACACAGGAGAGTGAGAAACAGTAATATCAGTAATTTGGAGTGCCCAGTAACAGTGTAGCCAAATGAGGCAATTCAGAGCATACGCAAATCAGAGGCACACAGTCCAAGGAAATTGACATGTTGCCTGTCTGCAGAAATTAGAGTCTCCAGGGCATCCCTCAGATTAATTTTACATAGTAACATCAATGCCTTATGAAAATCAAATGATGTAAAAACTCTCAGAGCAACATTTTGGAATCAACTGCCCATTTTGGCTGATAATGAGATCAAACTTGACAAAATACCCTCAGATTAATTTTACATAGTAACATCAATGCCTTATGAAAATCAAATGATGTAAAAACTCTCAGAGCAACATTTTGGAATCAACTGCCCATTTTGACTGATAATGAGATCAAACTTGACAAAATTCTCTTCTGTGACCTATTCTACATGCATCTGCACAGAATCAATAAGCAAAATTGGAGAACATTTGGGCCAGAAGAATTCATCCATATTCCTCTTCATTCATAGAGGAACACAGCATGGTGTGCAATGAGCAGGAGGTGAAATTATGGGCCTTACTTTTTTGAGATCCTAAAAACAGAGGGGGCCATATCTCTTAATGCTGACAGATGTACATGTTGTCTACATTCTTTGGGTTTCATGTGAGGACTGTGAAAGGAGCATGGTTCCAACAAAATGGTGCCACAGCTCACACATTAACAATGATGACTTGGCTCAAGGAACACTTTCCCAACGATCTCATCCATCACTCCCAACCATATAAAAATTAGACTTTCCATGGCTAACAAGGATGCCAGACTTGTCAACTTTTGTTTTTTTTTTTTTTTGCAAGGCTAATTAAAGATGCTGTTTTTCATGAGGCCCCATGTAAAATTCCTGATCTGAAGGACAGGAGGTTTCCTCAAGTCATTACCAGCATTATACAGGAAACTGCAGACAGCAGTCCTAAATTTCAATGTCAGAATCAGACTTAGGACTAATTTGAATGGGTGCCATTTTGAATGAGTGTTCTGACCCAGAAAAACCTTACTGAGGTTGTTTATCATTAACATATCATTTAGATGTTGAAATCTTTAACAGAACAAAAGTTATGCAGCACTGAAACAAGCAAATTTTTTGGTCCACCCCATATATCAATAGGGCAGAAATAGATACTAACCATTCAGAAGAGACAACTCTCCTGTCAGTGGGGCTAGATATATTCAAATGATTCTGCAACAGCAAGTAGGAGCCCAGCACTGTCTCTGACTTCTCTTATAAACAGGCTCTACTTTTTATATGAAGTGCTTGACATTGCAAGCAACCCTTCACCAATACGAAGCTTCAAATAGTCAGTGTATGCCACTGGGTGATGGGGGTGGGTAACACCAAAATGGATGCAAAAGAAAGTTCAATAATTTTCTGCAACACTATCACAGAGTGGCCAAAATCCTGGAGAAAGCAATTCCAAGTCCAAGAACAGTCTGACCAAGGCCTAAAATGAGAGCATAGAAAGGCTCCAGTGGATATGCAGATGCCCTATAAACAAAAGCAATAGCAGCACTTGATACTGCACCATAGAGAACAGGTGTGAGAAGTCCAGCAAGAAGGAAAACTGGTGTGACACAACGTGCTTTTGGATGCTTCCACAGCAATGCCACAGAAGCTAGTCCAGCACCAAGATGAACGAAGATAGAGGAAAACAGTGTCCACATGTAAAGATGGAACCATATCTCAGCAAATGTGTTCAATGGATCTGATGCATACACTCCAATGACACTAAACACAGAGTCCAGTTCTGATGTCTCAAATTCCTTCTCAATCATTTCGTCTACTCAGTTCTCAATTCCATTTGGGGCAAGCACTTTCAGGTCCCCAAAAATCTGCCAAGAATGGAAAAAGATTGAACACATCAAAAGCTGCAGATCAAATTCAGGAACAAGTAATAACTGACATGTTCTAACACAAGGACTCTGGGCTTATGTCAGAAGTAACTTCAGCATGGATAAAGAGTAACATAATGATTACAGTTTCCAGCAAAGATAATTTGTCAGATTAAATTTTCATCACATAAATAAATAGTTTTCTCATTAAGACCTTTAAATAGAAAAAAAACACCTTTTTACTGACTTATTATTGTATTTATTGGCTGAATCAGATGAAATGAAGACCCAAGTCAACTTGAGGAGGAAGGTCTGATGATACTGAACAAGTATAAAATTGTTGTATAAAATGATGACCAAAGAAAAGTTTATCATTTTCATCTGTCAATTTTTGTGAATGGAATGAAACTTGCTTCCATTTACAGAAGCCTCTCTGGAGAGTGATACAGAGAAGCAAGAACTAGAAAAGGTGAGCATTTTAAAAAGATCACAGCATTAAGCAATAGTTTTCCATCCTTTCATGGCAGAAAGAAAAAAAAAACTGAATAAAATCAGTTCTAGATTGAACTATAAGGCAAGTTTACTTCATGCCAAATGAAAAACTTAAATCTTTGAATACTTTTACCTCTATGCATGTAACTTTAATGTCTGTGCGCGATAACCAGAATGATTGTGGATGGTATCATGTGAGTAGCATGTGATACAGGTCAATCGAAGAACAATAGATGTTTCTGTCAGAGCAGTAAAGTCAAATGTACCAGTGGACAGATCAACTGCAAATGGAATCAAGGAGAATCAAGGAGAGCCAAGGTCACTATTGCCTGATGACCTTGATTCCATTTGCAGTTAACAGAGGTCATATGAATCATGTGAACAATACAAATGTGACTGAAACTCATGGCTAAGAAAATCAGGGTGCTAAGGGATTGATTTAATTCTGAGTGGAATTCCTGCCAAGCAAGAAAGAAACGATGGACTTGATGGACACAGATTTTGAAGACTTTCAATTTCTTAGAAGCACCATAAAAAAGGCACTGAGCAAAAAAACAACTGGAGTACTGAAGGAACAAGTGACAATAGCAGACAGAAGTCGGAAATCTGCAGGAATACCGAAAGGAAAACATTCCAGTTCAAACTAAGCAAGACTTGTCAAGTTGTGCAAATCATAGCAGAAGTATCAGTGTCTGTAACCTGAAAACGATGATGAATACTATCAGAATTTTTTCCATGAATCTACAAAGGACTGGACATTTATAGCAACAGAGGTTGAGGTGATGAAGTGCTATGAGGAATAAGGCATATTCCTTTTGGAAAATGGACTGATGCCAAGCAAATTCCTGTGGTTACTATGAAAATATCAAGTTTTAATTCTCTCATTAAAAATTAACGGCTAGCAGACGCAATGGCCTGGGCGGGGCGCGTAACATGGCTGCTCCAGGATGCCCACATAGAGCATTATCATTATATTAACACATTAATATTACACCTTCATACCTCAACTCTCTCAGCTGAAACACATATCACTGTAACCTATTCCTAAAGTACTTTCATACCATATATCTCTAGCGCCATTCTAGGGGTGGTCCACTTCGGAAGTCTTCCCATCAAATAACATGGGTTAGGTCAATACATGCACTAGATGATTAAAAAGCAGCAATATAAGGAATAACTCCATTCAAATGCATCATAGCAATCTCACGTGTTCATGAGGGAAATTGGCACAACCTGCATGAAAAAATGCCCAGTCAGTCCAACACCTGTCTGCATGCTCTAGGCCAGTGGTGCATAACCTTTTCCTCCTAGAGGGCCTAATTGAGATTCCTGTGCGTGTTTGAGGGGTTCAAGGGCCGCAGACCCTTGAACATGAGCGCATGTGAATATGGATCTTAGGAGACTGTAGGCATCTAAGGTGCTGCAAAAAAGGTCTCCACAGGCCACATGCGGCCTGCAGGTTGTGCATCACAACTCTAGGCCATGTCTATATTGGTATTGTATTGAACTCCAGCATTATTACATCCCATTGGTGGTCAAAGTTGTGGATTTAATGGATATGAAACCTGTCTTAAAGGTATCACAATAGGAATAAATATTTAAGAAACTGGTGGTGTTTGACTTAGGGATCATAGGCCATTTGATTCAGCAAGGTCTTTTTTTTTCCCTGTGTACATGCTATTTTTGACAACCTGGATGCATATGTCCAAAATTTTTCTTGTTTCATCTGATATTTTGTCCAGAACATGAGCATCTTTCACCTGAAAATTGGGTCATTAAATTCTTATCCTTTCTGGGTTGTTTCTGTGTAACACTGTTGCAGAAAATAATCTGCCTTATCTAATCCTTTTTCTCATAAGGGCTGCTGTACACCTACTATATGGCTTCACCAGAAGTCAATGTGTTGCTAATGCATATGGCTACCTAACACACCTTGCTTCATTAAAATACCAGTAACTCTTTTGAGGTTAAAGTGCTTTAAAGGGAGTCAACACTTACCTCACCCTGTAGATGAGTAAGAACTAAGTTGGACCTTCAAAATGAAGGAAACAAACCAGACTTTGATGAATACATATGGAAATAAATGATAAAATTGACAGATTCAATGATTGTCAAAGCTGGTTGGAAACAACTTATGAATGATTTGGATACACTGCCTGCTGCATATGTGTTTTTAAGCAATCAACACTCACATGTTGATTAGTTAAAAAATCAATTAAACTTGCTTCTTGCTAAATGGCTAAGGTGTATAAGATGGAGACATTTTTACACAAATATTTTAGAGCACAAACCTGTAAAACAGGAAGAGGGCATTACTTTGTATTCAAATGGGCATAATATAAGTTTGAAATTATTCATAGTGTAAGTTGCCACTCTTTACTTGAAAAACGGGTGCTATTTCATGGGGCATATATGCTCTTGCTCAGACTTAACTTCTGATGACTTAAGCTTGCAGAGATGTCATATTGTATGAAAATTTCAGTTCAATGAGATCCTAAATTATGCTGGTTTCCTCAGGATTTGACACTATTTTAGAAATCATAGTCAACAGGTTCTGGTTCCTTAAAAAAAAATTCAATCTGTGGCATCATCAGCACATCGTTTTGCAGAATTGAACTTCAGGCTCTAATATAGATACTACATTGTTCTGATCATCAAGTGCGGTTTTATTCTCAGAACTAGATCTTTGACAAATTGGCTGGGCAATGGTAGAAGTCAACCACTCTGAAATTACTTACCATTTTGTAAGTGCTATTCCCATGTGCTGAAAAAGTACTTTAGGTGCATGTAGAACAAACATTTTAGTAGACTGTCTTAGAACAATTCTGTACAACTTTCATGCGCTAATGCTTCTTCAAAAATAAACCTGCTTTACACTTCATGTTAGCGCAAACTTGGGGCAATACCTTGGGCAGCACTAACCAGCCTGGATTGATCTACATGAATTGCATTCCTGGATGTACTAACCGGTCATTCCCCTAAAGCCCAAAGTTTAAATAGGCATAAGCCTAGAAAAGGAAGAGAGGAATACTCGTATTCGTACTTTTCGACCTGATCTTTGTGTGACCCGGTAGTCGAACCCAGAGCTTGAAGCTGTTCCCTCACACTGCTCAGCGCCATCTTCGACTCGCACTTCTCTATTAGGGTTGTCGGATATGTCACCTATTTACGATTGAAATGGCATTGATTATTCAGGGAATGCTATGAAATTTTAAGCGCAATATGCAGTAAAAAAAATCGATATTCAACTGTTATCCCCCATGTATTACATAAAAATGGCCAGCCTTCTCTTGAATGAAAGCCTTTGCGGCTCTGCACGACAGCCCAAATTACTCTGCATGGCAGCTTAATTACGTAAGGACGTACCCCTTCAGCACGTTGTGGCGTGATTCGCACTCCGGTTGTGAATGCAAAAATGTGGTTCTTAAATCTCTTTGCTCACTAAACTTGCAAGGAGGCCAGCCAGTTCAGCAGTGTTGCGTTGTCATTTTCTCGCTGTACTTCTTTGCGAGTAGTTACAGGTTCTTCGAGGACTCCTCGCTTGATTCTGTATCTTTGGACCTCATCATGGACAATGAGAACAAGACTCACTTCCCATTCTCTTTCGGGAGGATAGGAAGCGCAGATGCTTCAGGAGCAAGTAAGGCTTTGATAATTGGCATGGTTTCTAATGACTTCATCCTTTATGTAGCTTCTGGCAGCCTTTGACATTATTTAGCCATTGAAATTTTGGAGCAGGGGTTTCGAGCAGTAGCACCTGCTCTTAAGTTTCTTCTGATAAGATTGAAGCCAAATCGGATTCTGCCCAATAAATTCTCTCTGTCTATGTTGCACTTGTAAAATAAGGAGGTAATTTTTATTCTATGGAAGTAATTGTATTTTTTTTTAGTTGTACCCATTGGTTTTGATTTCATTTGGTCAAGGTCTCTGAAGATAGAAATAGGGCGTTAAATATTATCTCTAATTTATGGTTGAGTCATATATAATTCATGGATGTATTTCCTATAAATGTGGTGATATCCCCAATGCATTCCATGTTGATTCATTTGAATCATTGAATGGTATCTTCCTTGATGCGGTTCTGGTTCTGTGCTTCTCAGTTTTTTTTAACAGTAAGGTGGAGATGTCATTTTAAAGTACAATATGTTTCATTCCCAGAGTGCAAGTAACAGGAGGAAGGAGGATAAGGATATGTTAGCTGTAGCTATGTTAAGGAAGGGAATTGTTATAACATCGCTCTATGGATCATTTGGGGTACTTTGTGCCATGACAAACTCTACAGTAGTGGCAATTATTGTAATTGTTAGGCCTAGAAGGCCAGTGATCTGGCTTAATGAAAATTGGTCCATTAGAGGCCTGTCATTCCAGCTATTCAAACTAGACTGACTGGTAGTATATGTACAGATATATAGGCTTTCATCTTTTGGGTTCTTTTCAGGCTCCAGACCTTCCTATTGCACAATGTTCATATGAAAGTATGCCATTTCTTACTTTGGTTTTTTATGGAAGAACTATAGTTTGAGCTTGAAACCTGAGAAAAGCCTGGAAGATGACAATCTTTTTTGATGGATATTTCAAGGATTTGAAGTCTTTAGCCAGGAAGAAAGTGTTTGAGATCATCCTGTATTTGTGATAAATTAGCTTATCACTTCAATATATCACTCAGCCCTAGTCATGCTTTCAGCATGGTTCTCCATGAACTTTCCTTTTTGTCTATGGAAATAGTTCATATATAGAATGCCCATCCCAAAGTGTGCATTGAGGCAGATACAGTTTACCCTATGTTATTGCATTATTTCTCATCTCTCTTAGATTTAGAGTTTAAGAATTTTGGGTATTAATATGTTATATGCACCACCTTGGAGTTCTCAACACCCATAAACCCCTTAGTGATACCTTTTTCAACCCTCTATCTAGAAAATAATAAGAAATGTAACTGATTTTTTAAATACTCTGAGCCTTCATCTATAATCTAGCTTCTTTTTAATTCTTTTAACTCGGCTGTGCTGCTGACATTGAACTGCTTCATTGTCAAACCACATTTTGAATGTATGAGTGTCCTTCACTTATAACCTCATTTCAAAACTGAAAAACTGCTACTTATTGCTACCAAAATGATGACTAGCACATTGACAGCAATTGAAACTTATACAGCATGTTCAATATCATTGCAGAAAATCAATTGATAGCTCAGGAGTCATGATCATGGATTATTTCATATTTCAGTTACCAGCAACCCAAATCTGGCTCCTCTTTCCCCATACTTGAATGTGGATCCAACCTACATTGGAAGGGGGCAGCCAGAATTCATCTTTCCTGAGGGAGCCAGCCATAGAAGAGGACGTTTTGAACTAGCCTTTAGTCAGATTGGTGGATCAGTGATGGTTGGAGCCAGTCTAGGTGGTGTGAATGGTCTTTACAAGGGGTTCAGGGATACTTCACTTGCAGGACACCAAGGCAGTGTGAGAAGGACTCAGTGAGGACCATTTTATTTAATTGACCACTTTACTTTTGACATGAATATAAATAATGTTTTTTATGCCCCTAGAATCTTGAATTATGTAATGAAGAGAGGTTCTGCCACAGCCAACACCCTGGGTGTTGTTGCTGTTATGTATAGCAGTTTTGGAGTTCTGCTTTCTTGGCTGAGGGGAGTAGATGATGAACTGAACACTATCACATCAGGAACTGTGACAGGACTCCTGTATAAGTCATCTGGTGAGTTTTTCATTGGTCAAGAATGCTTAGGTTTGATCTGAAAGTGATTGAAACAGTATCTGATTTTGAATGTTCTGTTGGCCAGTCACCTTAGACATGGTCTTCCCAGAAGTTTCATGAAGTTGAGTGTTTATCTGTGGTGCTGGAGACAGGTGTTTGTTTCAGCCCTCATTGTTCTTGACTCTCACTCTGCATCTACTGCAATGTGTCATGAACCCCTTCCCCCAATGGCTAAATCTATCTTTCTTCCTGTTCCTGCCAAAAACAAATTAACCTTTATTGGATAGATTTAAATCCCCTGTGTAAGTGTGGACAACCAGATATTTTCTATAAAGCTTGTAAACACTTGCTGAGTAGTGCAACTGGTCTAAAAATAAACAGTTGACCTTGAAGCAATTATTCTCTTAATATCAGACCAGTTTTCAAAAAGTTGAGATACAGCATTTGTATAGTCCATCTGTTTGAATCACAGGTCGAAAGAGATAAGCAAAAGAAGACATTAGCATGTCAGGTGGCACTAGGACCAAAGGGGAAACTCTATGATTAATGAGAGGAGAGGAGGAGTGAAGAAGGAAACCAGTGGTGGAGCTTCCTCTACTTTCAACCCTCTACTACAGTGGTTCTCAACCTGGGAGGTGTCACCCCCCTGAATGCATGAAGGTTCAATGGGAGTAAAAGGAAGGTTGAGAACCACTGCTCTACTACCCAAAAGTCTAAAAATACCTTTCCTCATACATTCATTGATCTCCTTTCCCCCTCAAAAAAGGGGCAGAGTTGCCCTTGGGTTTGGGGGTGGCCGATTTGATTGACGGTTCCCACTTCTCACCCTCATTAGGCTGCTGCTACATAGATCCGACTACCTGCAATTCAAATGGATGCACTATACCTTTAGGCCATGGAAAAATTCATTCTGTGGTACAGCAGTTATGCCATTCATCCGATAAAGGCTAAGAACCCCCCCCCCCCTCCCCTGCTACACTTTCATTATCACTTTTCTTTTGGGAGCCTTTCCAATAATATCTTAATGGTGCTATGCCACTGGCCATAGGTGCAACCTATTCTTGTCTTTAGTCAACTTTACTGAGTGTCTTATTGTGGATTTTAGACAACAAAGCTTTCGTAAGAGAGAGAGGTGGCCTTTGATAGATGATGGCTACAAGAACAGCCTATGAGAGAATTTCCAATCTCATTTTTTATGTTTCAACCAAGTTTGAATGGGATTCCACTTTCATGGAAGATGAATATAAGTAGCATAAAATGAGTATCTCTTCCATTCAAATGTGTTCCCTCTTGTGTGATCTTCCATAATGGTGAACATTGGTGTAATTTTCTCTTTGCAAAATGTAGATTCTTACAAGTGGGAAGGTCATGAGGACCTCTTTTGCTGTCACAGTTTCACACTCAATTCTTGCAATTTTTTCATCATAAATCCTTCAAGGTCCAGTCACCAAGACCCATCTCATTCCCCTCTCTCTTTCCAAAATTTATTGAAGGTTGACAAATGACAGGTAGTTTCACTAAATGTTATTCTGTTTTGCTCCCCCTGAGTTGAATCTGTTCCATCTGATACTAATCAGTCTCAACATAGGATATACATGCATTATGAGAGATTTGCCTGGAAGACAAATCCATAAATTCTCAAACTGGCAATTTCTATGTTTTGGTTTCTGACTTAGTTTTTGCTCTTTCATGAAAGCAAGCAGATGATAATGAACATTTGTGGAATATTTTTTACATGTGAGTTGTTTGCCTAAGTATGATATTAGCAAAAGTGGCTGACATTCTTGCCAATATTTTGGTATATCTTGTTCCCTAATAGCAGAGATATCCATCAATAATGATTTGCTGATGTTGGGTCTGTCATAGCTGGACTAAGGAGATGTGCAATGGGTGGAGTTCTTGGCTTTGGCATCTCAGCAGCCTATTGTGCATGGACATCCCGAGAGCGTCTCAAGACAATCATTCATTGATAGTCCCAGTTCTAGTCTACATGTGTTGGTATTTGTTTTTTTTGTAATAAAAAAAAAAATTTATGCTGTCATTCAATCATAAAATGCACTAAATTATAAACGATTAAATTTTAAATTATTAAAAGAATCATATACATGGCTGTTAATTTGATTATTGACTGATTAATTGCCAGTAGTTTCTTCATTGTGAGAATCCACAGACAATTGTGTTATTTCAAAATTACTGCACTCAGGTGAGCCATTGACTAACTCCCAGTAATGTTTCAATAAGACCTGGAGCAGTGGTTCTCAACCTGGGAGGTGTCACCTCCCCGAATGCATGAAGGTTCAATGGGAGTAAAAGGATGGTTACCTCATTACTTCATTGATATTTTCAACGGACTTACTTCAAAAATGAAATCGTTTTAAAGTTTTTAATCAAATATCACTGCAGTGTTTTTCACTTGAGTTAGACACATGCATGGGACGTTCCTCATGCATTAGTGTCGAAGTCAGGTGAAAAAGTGTCAAACCAAAGTTAAAAATACTTTAATTCTATGTTAAGGATACCCTGAAAGCTGTGGGTCCAAGCACTTAATTATCGTGGACAAATTACTCAGTCGCAATCGTTAGCGCCATGGGCTCTGCTACCTGTTTCTTTTGGCCATCTCTTTAAGACGGTAAGAACAAGAGAAGATGATCGAGAGAACATAAGTTCATTTCTTCTCTTGTTTCCACGCCTTGCAGTCAGACTCAGGCACGGAGGGTTTTTTTTCCGATCTATTGATGCTTCGTCACGTCGGCGTCAAGGTCACATCTCTGCAGTTCCAATAATAATAGAACTACCGCTGAGCGCTGACCTGCCGCTTTCAATTCCTACTCGTGGGGGGGATACTGTAGACCGATCAGCTTAGTAGATCCCCCTTCCGACTACATTACAGAAGTTTCACTACACGCCGAAGACTTTTTATTGAGGTTTATCAGGATTCAAGTGCTAATTCTTCGCTGAATGCATTCAAACTTCGCTGGTGGACCGTGATGACGATCTTTGCCTATTCCACAACCAGGAATGTACAAAATTATTTTTTTATGAATAGGGATTAGAGTCCTATGAAGCGACCTCAGTATGCATCAGTTGTCTGCGAATTTCTGTCTAGTTTTTGTTTCTGATTGAATTTGTTGATGTTCTTGCTTCAGGGGATAACAATTTTTCCTGTTGCAGAAGTGGAAAGAAAACTTTAGTCTGAGTTACATAGGGCTAATTTATAAAAGGAGTCCCCAATCAACGTCCTTGGGAGACTCCAGTCCCACTGAAAAAAATTGCAGCTGTCAAACATGAAAAAAAGATTTGCTGAATCCTAGGCTCTGTCATGTTGACCAAAGGAAACGTGCCGTGAGGCTATTTTCCGCCACAGGACTATTTTTAAGTGCAATGAAGACTCAACTCCTTCAATCTTTCCCGTAGCATGAAGGCTGTGAATCCAGAGACCGCATTTAGCTGAGGACGTCTCTCATGTCCACCCGATAGGATAAAGATATCAGATGATGATGTAAATGAGGTGGGGGTTCCTAATCGTTCAGAAACATTTTCTCTGAGCTTTGAGCTTTCGTTATTGCTTCCTGCTCGGCAGGCAACCCGTCGAGATCATCCGTGGAATGAACGCTTCGAATGTCTCCAGAACTTTATTAAACGTGACGGGTAGAGGAAAGAAATGAATCTTGCACTAATGCTCAAGGTTCCTGTCACACGGCACATGCAATTCCCCAGTACCGTGGGATGCGCATGGAGCACATGAAGTTAAATGCGATTGAGAAATGCGGATGGCCAGGCTTTTTCCGTTTTCCTCCAGTCATCTCCCCTTCTCGACTCGTTCGAACGCAAGGCAGGCGATGCTTCTCCGAGGACGCAGCGACGGGGATGGCAATCGATGGAAGTCCTCCCACGGTCCGGTACTCGGGCTTCCTTTCCGCATCCCAGCATCCTCATCCCTTTCATCCTCTTTCATCATTCGTCTCTCGTGTCGACTCGAAAAGGGCTTTGCAAGATTCGAATTTCTAGCAAGATCGTGCTGACATTCACGATCAACTGCATATTTATGACTTACGGGCTCGCAAAGTTGCCCTAAAGTCACAAAATACAAAGGTCTTGTGGGGAAAGGGCGGAGCGTCCAATTTCGTAATGCCAAAAGTATGGAGGGTCCAAAATTGTCGCTGAGTCCCAGGTGAAACTTGTTTGGCAAAAGCATAAGGAAGAAAGAGCGTTACATCTTGGTCAAATTTTGTTCAGTGATGGATCAAATCACGTAGCTGGAAAAAAAAAACATCGTATGCATATGAAAAAAATTTAAAAAAGAAATTCCCAGGATCGGAACTAAGTTGTGACCGGTCACTAAGGAGTGGGTCTTTATGCAAATGCATACTTTCTTATGCGACCTTGTTGCAGCGTGCAATGCATATAGGACCATGTATTATTGGTAGCGGAAGCGATTGATTCCATTTTAAAAACGCATAAAATGCATATTTTTAAGTTTTTCTCGAAATGAGCTTATTTCATCTATTTTCTGCCAACAAATTCTCTTCTCTAGAAGACCCGAGCACTCAGCAACACTGTAAATCCTCCCAACAGTGACGTTGACCGCGACGAGAGGAGAACCCCGCCCAGCAGGCTCCTCCCGTCATCCCTTCGCTCTGCGTGGGAAGGGGAAGCCCGGCGGTATGAAATGTGCGCCGTCAGTACCTTCTTCCTAATTCATTCTGGCTAATGGAAAGCATATTTTTGCATATCATTCCACTTCCATGCATGTTTCATGTACATATTGGCATTTTAGGCGCATAAAAGTCCGCTTCCGACCCATCACTCAGCATCGAATCACCTCGAAAAAAAAAATACTGGAATTCCCTGGAATTGGGCGACACCTAATGACTGCTTTTCAAACTATTGGTAGTTTTGTAGGACCATAGATGCAGCCGATGGTTCGTTTATTTATTTGAGGATGTACGATGGGCGTTCAGAAAGTTTTGGCGACAGATTCTTATATTCCGATCGGCAAAAGCTGTAAATTTCATTCTAGCACGATCACTTGCGATACTCTCCCTCGTCATCGAGTCGCGTCCTTGTCAGCGACTTAATTGCTTAAGTGTCCCCAGCACTTAGGCTGAGGCACATTTCAAAGTTCTGAATTTGACGCCACGGACTGATTCCTGAGTGTGAAAATTTTATCCCTGACAATCTTCGATTTGAAAACTTGAGCTGCACAAGAAGTGTGGAATGCCAGAAGGCAAATGGCTTCAGTGCATGGTTTGCAGAAACGGAACATCTCGAGGAATCGGGTCTCCGTAATTCAAGACTAAAGAGTACATCACAGTCCGAGTGTCAGGGATTCTTCAATAAGTCGTTGATATGTACGCAATATCGTGTGTTCCTAGGGGTGTGTATTACTCGCCGATAGAAAATAAAATATTTGCTTTCTAAATTGAACACCATTCGCAAAACCCATTTTGAAGGGAGAGCAACCAGTCCGTCGGACTTTCCCCAGTTCGCTTTTAACACGAACAAGTCGAGAAAAACACGGCCTGGATGGGCCAGGGGATTCCTCCCCGTACTTTTGGGGAAAGGCGGAGCTTTTTCTCCTCGAGTTCACTTGGGTGCCGGCGAGATAACTCTGTTTCAAAGATGTATCTAAGATCCTCCGCACACCTAAGGAAGTACGTGAGAACAAAACCAGCTACGACGGTCGGGAATTCCAGCTATTTTCGCTCTGAGGAGCAACCTTAGAGGTCCAGGCTCTAAGGAGCCTGGACCGGACCCAGGGGGTTTTTACTGGACGCGTCCATCGGTCTCGTGCTATTTTAACGTGCCATCCCGGCTGGAAACAGCTATAGTTTCCAGCTTGATTCCAGTCGGAAATTCGGACCCATTCCAACTGGGTAGCAGCTGGAAAGTAGTCCGATTCTGATTGGTTCCTAGTTGCAATATCACTTGCTTGAATGAGAATCTTTTTGTTGAACATTTTTGTCGGAGGTTCATCTACAGAAACAGATGAATTTCAGTTGTAAATTCAGCTGTATTCCAGCTGTTGGGTCCTCTGTATGAAATTCTAACTGGAAATTTTCCAACTGGAAATAGCTATTAAAACCAGCTGCATTCCAGTTGGAAAATTCCAGCTATAAACTAACCCGGCATCTACTATTTTCCAGGGTTCCAGATCACTTCTGCGCCACGTCTTCGACTGGACGCTTCTTTGAAAGGTTTTCGTCGAAACGTCCAGTCGAAGTAGTGTCTTTTGAAGAAGTGACCTGGAACCATTTTCCAGCTCTTTGCCAGCTGGAAATGGTCCGAATTTACAGATTTAGTACAGCTGGAATATTCCAGTTGGGATTTTAAACTGAGATGATACACTTCCTCGAGACCGCAAGGTTCTTGACGATACTGGAAATGCTCGATATTTAACTTGGAGATTCTGACGTGTCCAGCGAGGAATGGGAACGAGCTGCGGTTCGTATCCTTAGGGCTTAGGGCGTCTCGGCAGACGACATTTTCGTGTCGCGATCTTCCTTTTAAGGCGTAAGGCACCAGTTTCATATTTTAAGATTCATCGAGGAATTCAGCTATTTCCGACCCTGGAGACTCACGTTCTCGGCTGCACGAGTGATCCAAACGTCGACGTCTTTCCTTCGGCCTCTGTCTGCTTCCTCCCGTTCTCTCGACCGAACGCGGTCGAGTAATGGTCGGGAAGCCCCGAGGCCGCGGCGGCTGGGGAAAGGCCGATTCACCCGTAACTCCTATTTGGCCGTTTTCAGTACCAGACGCGTTGCTCTATGCCGAATTTCAACTTATTTTGCTCGTTTCTGTATTTCATACTTTAAAACGGAACAAAGAAAAAAGTCCTCGGCAACAATTGTGGATAAGCCGCCTGTTGCCTAGTGATCGCCATTGCGAGAGCAAAAGATATCCACTTCCTCTTTACTACCCGAGAGCCGAGCAAGTAGTTTCAGGTCTTGGGTGAGCAGAAAGCTCCGAGCCCTTTCCTGCTACTGCGGGCAACAACAAGAAATTGAAGAGGAGATCCCTCGCTTGCTTGGTGGGTCACCGTCCTTTTTCTCTCGTCCTCGGGATGTTTCCGCGACTCGGGATTTTGGGGCGGTTGGTCGAAATTCCAAGTCGTATGGCGGTTTCTGACTCGAAGGTCCCAGGGACCAGACATGAAACTTCGTTTAGGGTATGTTTGCTCGGAGAAAAAAATGTAGGCTCTGAGAGCGTTTCGGCACGGAAAGCGAATGACGACTCCGAATTCCATTCCTTTTATTCCGTGCCTCGTTGTCAGTTGAAAGGAATTATTGAGATTCGCTGGAACCTCTGGATCCCCCTCGACCTTTGCCTCAGCAGACTCCTTCGATTCCACACTTTCAAGGACATTCAGTTTATGAATTTCATGTTCTTGCCGGGATCAACTGTGCTGGACTAGTACTTGCTGGACTAGTACTTGCTGGACTAGTACTTGCCGGACTAGTACTTATCCCTTCAGCGGAGCAATGATAAATGTGGATTAACGAGGGTGCTGAAGGGCTGAAGAGAGATACTGAAGGTGCACCTAATTGAAGTATACTGCGACTCGTGTGCACCTGTGACCGAGCTGACACGGTCGAAGCCACGACTGGGAAGCAAAATCCAGTATAAGGGTGTGATGGCTTGAGGCAGCGACGTGTCTCCGTTTCGCCGGAGTCCAGACGAAGGAAGGCAGACGGGGGTGGGGGAGGAGGACTTCGACTACGCGAGACTTTTCAAGGTCACGGGACTGTGGTTCTTTCAATTCGCTTTTCGATGTGTGAGGCTTCTCTATCTTCCGGACTGACTTCGTTGTGTTCGCTGTGGCGATCGTCGCATCTTGGACGATCTCGGATCATGGATGCCGGATCTATCGCAGAGTGTCCCAATGGACTTTCGAGATCAAACCCGTCGGTTTTTCAGTCGAATTAGTGCTTTGTGCCGGGTCGAGAGGTTCTCCGTCAAATATGGCTTCCTCCACTCGCCTTTCTCCTTCGTGAAGAAAATGGACTCAAAAAGTTGCCGTTTTTCCATCTGTACGGTCATCGTCTAGAGGCCACGATGATGAGTGATGGACGTAAAGGAGATACTGATTCTCCTTTTGTCTCCTCTTTCATCGCTTCATCCACTTTCAATCGAAGATGGACTTAATCCCCGATGGACATAATCTCTGATGGACATAATCTCTGATGGACTTCATCCCTGATAAATATCATCCCCGATGAACCCCATCCCAGATGGACTTCATCCCAGAAGGACATCATCCCAGGTGGACATCGCTCTCAAACTGCTCCCAAGTCGATATTTCCTTCCAGTCGCGCAAGAACAAGTGAGTTTGTTCACGTTTGTTCTTTTATTTTTATTTTTAAAATTATATTTATCCTGTTCGAGCCATTGTGAATGGCATTGAAACCGAAAGATTAGGAGGGAAAGGAGACTGCCTTAGCAAACCAAAAGCTGGATATTAATAGTTTTCGCTTGTTGCACTCGTCTTATCGGCTGATCCTGTTCACTCTCCTGTGATTCCATCTCAAGTCGTCTGGAAAGTTGTGAGGGATCATTTACGGATCCGCATGCGATTTGGCACACGCGATGTCCGAGGAACGAACCGCTGCCAATTTGTTGTGCGAATGCGCTTTGGGTTCCCGAGATATGGGATTGGGAAGTTATTTGCTCTTTGTCATACTAGTGTCAAAAAAAAAATCGTGCCGAGGAATAATTTAAAACTTCCCCGTCATTTTTATGGCATTTTGAGAGCAGCACCAAAATTGAAAATAGTAATATAGAGCACAAACTGAATGTTGCAGACTTATGTGAAGCAACGTGGTATACCAGCGACGGGACTCATAACGAGACAAAATTATGGCACGAAAATAATTGCCAGCCAGCAGTTACCATGGCAACAACGTCCTTAGCCGACTCGTGCTCTCGTTGTCGGTTGTGGGCGCGGGAAAGCATTCGGTAGAGTGCCATTCTTATCGCCGGAATTCGGCTTGGAATGACTTTTTGGACTTCTGACCCAATAAGTCGCCTTTCCAGTTCAAGACAATCCCAAATGAAAAATTCTCAAAGCGTTTCTTTTCAAAATTTACAACTGCTTCTTTCCAACTTTTTTTCTTTACAACTGCTTTAATGACACGACCAGCCAGATAATTATATAGTGATGTATAATAAAACTATGTGTACACTTGAAACTGACCTATATGTTAGCAGGAATATACGAAAAAACGCCCACTGAAGAAATGCCCACAGACAAAACGCCAACAAAAGAAAAAATGTCCACGGAAAAACGTCCATACCTGCAAAGTACGAAAAAATGCCCACGTGAATATTTTTCTGGTTTTTATTTATTTTTTATTCTGCAAAAAAGCATCTCATTTATGGCATTGCCATAAAGAACTGCGTTGATTTTGCAGAGTTCGTTTGATGGATGCCTCTGATGGCAAAGCGCACGAGCATCGCCATCCAAATGCATCATGGCTTGCCAGTAGATAACACCTGACTTGTCACACGTCTTGGCTGCTCGTTGCTTCATGGAGACGACATTTGTTGATCTTGATAGCTGTCGTGTCCGGAGCATGGTTATGTGCTGCTCCTGGACAGAAATTGGTGCAGTCGGCGTCCGTGAACAAAATTCCCCCACAAGATGGGACCGTAGGGCACAGCGCCACCGGATTTTGTCATTCTTCTGGGAGTGCTTCACATGCATGAAGCCTTCGAATATAATTTTCCGTCCGCCTTTCTGGTTCGAGATGAACTCCATGGTTACTTGAAGTGAAATGAATAAGATTAAGACACCGTATTTATATATCATCCGTTTGAAGATACTTCGAACAATGGCATCATCATCTCCTCCTCATACACAGGGGGTAGGAGGAAATTGTCAATCAAGAGTTGTCAGTGTCTTGTCTAAAACAATGTTCAAAGATGTTTTTCATTTGATCATCTGTATGGAGCTTATCTTTCCGCCTTCCTCGGGATCAATACGCCCCTACCTCCAAGATAATTGTAGGCAACTGGACCTTCTCATGTCAAACGTGGCATGCCACACTTCAATTACTCCATTGCTATTGAAATCGGTCCAAAGGACAGGCGAATTAGCAGCAAAATTCCACGCACCAGATCTTATCTCAAGTGACTTTTTTCTCACGTTTTCCTTAGCATTCCCGTAAAGAATACTCCTTTCGTTGATCCAACGTTAAAGCGTTCTGGAATCTTGGGAATTTTCTTCATATTCATGTTTTATTATGTCGGCATAGAGGGACAGGCACTATCCTTGAATGCCGACGCAAAAAAATCATTTTTCTTTGCATTCTCCTCCCCCCCTCATCTGACACATCCGGCAAGATTTCTTCGGCGAAGTGTATAAAAGGGAGTGATCTTGGATAAACAACGTGGCTGAGGAAGAATCTTGTAGACTTGTAGACTCATACATGCAATGCAACCTTGCACACCCGAAAAAAAACCTTCAGGTTGCATTATAACTCTTCACATATAAGAGGACAAGCTCATCAGGCGTGCTATTACAGTTTTACATTTCATCGACACAGCGACAAAACTATATGCACGAGGCAAGCCAAAGCCAAAGGGGGGGAAAAAAGGCAGATTTCTCGGTGATGTGTCATTCGCTCATATTGATATCTCAACAATCTCATTCGTTGATATCTCAACAACATCGCACATTTGAGAAAAATATCGACTAAGGAAAGTAAGCAAACGGTTCCATATAACGTTAAATCTTTACAGTCATCAAAATGTAACTGAAATTAGTCATTTGGTCGGCATTCCTGGGGGCTTAGGTCAAGGATGGGGAACGACTAAGGAAAGTAAGCAAACGGTTCCATATAACGTTAAATCTTTACAGTCATCAAAATGTAACTGAAATTAGTCATTTGGTCGGCATTCCTGGGGGTTTGGTCATGGATGAGGAGACTAAAGAATCAAAACTTGGTTAAAATGTACCTTCTTGAATTCGTGTGGAAACGGTGGAGTGGTGTTAGAGTAGTCGAAATGAAACGCATTGGTCATGAAATCAAGGGTTCGAATACGGACAAAGAAATTCGGCATCAGCGGAAGAGAGAAGAAAAAGAGTAATCGGCATTCCCGGAGAAGACGTCTGAGACAGGTTTCACAGTTCGGCGTTTATGGAAGGATAATGGGTGTCGGCGGTCGTGGAAGCGGCATTCCAAGTACTAACCCGCTGGCGACTACCTTACCCGAGGCCAGCAATGTGGCCGATGTTCCCGTTCGGCGAGAGGAATCTCCAAAGCACCATTAGCCACTCGATTTCTCGACTTGCTAGTGGATCGTTTGGATGTATCGACGGTGAACCGAGGTGGAGCGAGGAGGAAGATGGCTTCATGTCTTTTGCTAGTTCCAATACGTTACCACCCAGTTCGAAAACGAAATCGCGCTCTTTGCCCCATTTTTATCTTTCGCAAAACTTATATTCAGAGTGAGACTTTCCACCTCTCAAACATGCTACATCCATCTACCGGTGGCATCATTTTTCGTACAAGATGTATACGACTTAAGGTGCACATGCACAAATATATTTTCTCTAGCACCACATTTCTTCGGGAGGGAGTAGGAACGCGTGAATTACTCAAGAACTTCCGAGTAAATTCTGACATGCGCCTAGCATCGATACGATGAAAGCCGAGACCCACTTCGGCGGTAGAACCCTCGCGGGAAGGCACGGAAAGGTATCTTTCTTAATCTTTCGCTTTTTTTTTTGGTTTTCAAATAAAGAAGGTCGATGGCATCGCATAACTCAGGGTAGGGGAATAGCATATCTCTGCGATAAACTCAAACTCCCAAACTCGTCGATTCTTGCCCATACGTCCTTCGTCGAGAAAGTCAATAATTAAAAAAATGGGTGAGATCTCGTACTATTCCCCGACTTCCCGTGCCGGCTCGACCACTTCGGTCGCGGTTCACGGTGGAACAGCGCGTGGGTTGGTTTACACACGAATCGTGAGGTCTCGTGACGGGATCACGGTGCGAGCGAAATCGAACGAGTATCGGTTCGGCCATGGTCATCACTAGAAAGACGTCGTCCACTTACTCTGTGCTGAGATTGATCTCGGGAGGCTTCCCAGTGGCATTCTGGATGACGAGAAATAGCTTGGTGACGATCTCGATCACGTGCCCCGTTTGGAAGACGAAGTCTCCTTTCTTCCTGGAGATGTCCGAAGGAAGGAAGAGGCAGCCGGGACCGGCAGCCGGATGACTTCCTGGTCCCATCCCATGGCTCGACGGTCCACACGACATCAATGCATTCGACGTATCGGATGATGGACTCGGCTGTCGAAGAAACGCCTCATTCATTACGGGGAGGAAACCGTCAATGCTAGTCAGCATGGAGTAGTGGTACCCAACATTTTCGGCTTGGGAGCCACATACTTACTCCCACAGCCATCGCGGGCCATATGCAGTCACTCGTATCGAAGGACACAACTTTACGGAAACCTGAAGGTATTTATTGTGGGTTAGGGCCACTTGAAAGTACCTCGCGGGCCACTTGTTGTTCGCGGATTCCCTTACGGAACTTCCAAATACAGGCGTATGTATAGGATTGTACAGTACTGAATTTAGCCTTGTTTGGAAACAGTTCAGTCCGTATCATATTTTGGCCATTCTTAATAAATATGAAACTATATATGGTTCTTCCTGAAGGAAAACTATCGATCGAATCACAAATCCCAGACATGACCCCTCAGGAAATGCAAATCATTCACCGTACCAGAATCGAACGGTAGGGACGGTCTTCACGAAAATGTCAAATTTGCTACATACGAATAGGGTATACGAATATGAATTGGAAACATACACCAGCCAATAATATGCCGAAGAAGAACTTGTTGTAACTCCACAGGTAAGTTAGTTCTCTCAGTTCTTGTGTCCAAATGCTTTTGCAAAAAATCCAAAAACCGTTCTATAAATATTACAGTAATTTAAATGATGAGTGAGACCCCCATCTATGGCCACCAGAAGATTTCATATCGAAAGAAAACATGAACGAGACACTAGAGAGCGACAGGGTACACCTCTGATTTTATTTTGATAGTTGAGGTGTCAACAAATATGGGAATGACGTCCTAGTAAACGTTGTGTAGAATGGAGGCAGTAAAACGAATTATTTAAGATGTCCATAAACGTGGGCACTATGCAACAAAGGGTTAATCTTTGCAATATTTATCTACATGAACAATCATAAGTGTTTGTCAATTGTTAAATATTAATCAATTTTCCTAATTTAGAATATATTTTTGAGCGCATGTGTAATACATAAATAAGTAATTCACATAATTAAACATTATTGCCACCATCGTACTTACGTTGTATCGCTGGGGAATAACAAACGTTGCAGCATCAAGTAGGGAGTGAGGTATTGTATACGTGTATTAAGTAAATCTTGATGTATAGCAAATTTTGTGGTCAAAACCGATCCTCATTCGGGATTCGTATGGCGAAAGAAAAACGTAGGCACCAATGGGGTAAAGAAAGAAGAATGAGGGAATGAGACTCACTGGTTTCACATGGAAGACAGCAATGTCATCGAAGAAGGGGGAGAGAGAAAGCCGGTAGATATCCCCAGCCGGAACACGATACTTCACCTGCATCGTTCTCTGGTCCAGGATCAACATGGCGCTCGTCGACAGTACAAAGAGCACTGGGACAAACTGTAGGGGATTTCGGGGGAAAATGCATGACGGGCTAGAAGATTCCTGTCGATGTTTTCATCAAACATCCAAAGGCTTCGAGAAGGTTTATCGAGTTTCAAAGCGCTTGCAGATGTTTCCACAACGCTATTATCTTTTTTGCTAATCGTACTCGATCGATCGGTTTAAGGTCGAGTAGAGAGTACAACAATCAATCAAACGAATCATATTATAATCGATTCCAAAATCTTCCCCTAAATGCCTAGTCCAACAGCATAGCTCTGTCAATTCAATGCATGGAGCACACTCGCACACTAGACCAGAATTGTCATTACTCGTTGCAGCGCCAAGAAAAAGAGAAACTTGGCATAATGACATACTATAATGGCATAATGACATTTTTTATTATCATTCTGACATTGCTCTCTCGGGCATGAACCAAAGGTGTTTGCCCCAAAACCTAAAACAGCTATTGAAGTTCGAGTCGCTATTAGAAATGCTTCCAGAACAATCGATGAGGACATTCTCTTTAAAATTCACAGACGCACCTAGCGACGCATAGAACTGTGCATTCGTGTAAATGGCGAATAAGTTGATTCATATCATTAGTTCTTGTTCTGGTTATATGATTCTTTGGTAATAAACTCATGTTCATTAATATCTAGGGCCTACTAACCTTGCCCTCATCTCGAAAACCTCTCTTTTCAAATCCGTAAATAAATCCGGGACTCCCTGTATATCCACGGGGAGATTCTGACTCTCTTCAACCCTTTCTCTGACTGAAAACTAAGAACCTACCTCATCCTGGTGGATCACTTATATGAAGTGAGAAATTCAGAAAAGAGCACAAACGTTTTCATTATTTTATTTCAAAACATTACTGAACCAATTGATGAGAAGGTAGTCAAAGTTACAAAAAAAAAGTTTTAAAATAATATATTCCTCGAGACATTCCAGCTCGAGGGATCAAACGATAATGTTCGTCCGACAGGGATTTGCCTAAAATGTAATCCTGAGTAATCTCCATGAGTTATGAAATAATCCCAAACCTGAGCATTCTAGCGCGAACGGTTCTCGAGATATTCTTCCCTAAATTCACCAAGGGTCAATCGTATTCGATGGAATACGTTTTTCACGAACTTCGATTACCCAGAAGAGAACCTCGGTCCTTGAAATGTTGGTTTACTCAATAATAAATTTACCGGTTTGAGATGCTTCTGTTGACATTTTAAGATTTAGGCTACGTTCATCCGGCTCTAGTGTATTCATGAAGATCCCGGTCTTCGGGGTATAGTGGTTGGGAGAGTGATCCTCAACATTCTTACGTTTTTATTTCCCCACGGAGAGGGAGATTTGACCTACCTACGCCCCTCCCCCCCAGATTGCGTTTTTGAGGATCAGATGAAAGCATTTCGTATTCGAGCCATCTACCCGTCGATTTCGTCACGAGTAAAACATGCCAAATCCAAAGTTATTTAAGATCCTTTCATTCGCGTGGATCCGATTCCACGTACGCATTACGGCTGCGCAGGACAACAGTAACGGCTCAGAAAGGACTTGAAATCGTATGCCATCTTTCATTCGCCACAGCCAGGGGGAATGTGTGCGCTCTACTAAAATTCTATTACTTAGTTAATGGTCAATTGGCTACGTGAAAGTTTAATATATATTTTTATCTATTAGAATATTCGAGTTTATTTGGTCTCTTTTATTACCTTGCTCTAGTTTTTTGTATTATTTTCTTTTTACTCGATTTTTATGCCTTGGTATCTAAGAGATATCACCGACAAGACGATCATGGCAATGGAGGTAACATTGGAAAATATCTGATTTCGCAAATGGTAAGGAATCTATAACAAAACATCATTGGATCTTCTCGGCTGTCGCACGGGCAAAAACGGAACGGACTTTCGTGCCTTCACGAGAATAAATCAAGGATATGGTCGTGGTACTGGCATTTAACTGGTTCTGATCTATCGCGAAAAAAAAGTATTTTGCGTTTTTCATCATGCAAATTAAAATTTCATAGCTTAGGTCTCTCATACCCGTCCGCTGGACCGGTTGATCTTGTTAATGATGTCGGCGAAAACCACGTATTGGTCGTTGGTGTCCGAGGACATCTTCTTCCACTGTGCATTCTGTCGAAGGCGAACGTAATCGCCCAGGAAGGGATGTCCGACGCTACAAAAGAAAATAACCAACATCTTCTTGGTCTCGACCATTTTGGGAGGAGGAAGGGATTCCACCCCGTCAGAGACACATGACGAAATGGAAATGACCACCAATCACATCTGACACTCCACTTCCCACTGCACTCATTCTCAAATTAGCATTTACAGTGCTTTTACTAGTGAACATTTTCCAACAGACCTCTTAATCGCCCATGTTCTGGCCTCCAAAGTACATCTTGACACGACTTCTTATGGTTTCGAAGATATTTGGAACAGCAATCCCTATCAAACCGGCTGGCTGACAGCGTGACCGAATGGAAACCGATCAGGAAACAAATCACTCTCATCTGCCTTAGATTCGGGCGAACAGTGGTCTCGTCCACCGTTCAAGTCGACGGACGGAACAACGAGGAGGACTACGACGCGTTCGAGGTGCATGGGGCCCTAGAAGGGATCCCAAACGGAGATTTTTCTTATTGGGGGACTTCAACGCGCAAGATGAGAAACATGAAGCTACGGAGGGCGAGGTGAGAGCCCGTTTAGGAGAAGCCACACTCGCTGAATGGGAACGGCAGAAAGTTACTCGACTTCTGTGCAGGCATATATATTACATAACATACTCTCCGGGTCAAGAAAGACCGAAACGGAAAGGCCTTCCCTTACGGAGCTTCCAAATACAGGTGCATGTATAGGATTGTACAGTACTGAATTTAGCCATGTTTGGAAACGGTTCAGTCCATATCATGTTTTGGCCATTCTTAATAAATATGGAACTATATATGGTTCATATACAGACCGCCATATATGGTGCTAGGTTTGCAATGTTTATGACACTAACATGAATTATACGGGGAAAAAAGTGTATTTGGAATATATTTGGAAACTGTTCAGTCCATGTAACGTCCTTGGATGCACACGCATGCACGTTGAGGCCTTCCATATGGCCTGACATCTAGCAGTTTGTTCAATAAATATAAAGTCCTCACAATATAATCAAGGTCGCGCTCATCCCGCCGATATATGTCTCCCGATTCCCCAAATGCTAATGAATGATGCTGCAGAAAATTTCACCCTCAACTCGCTAATTTCCCACGTACAAACCGAAGGAATGAAGTCGTTTTAATTGATGCATATGTTGAGAGACGTAACATAGCTTAAGGAGACTGCAGGTAATTCTTGCTCAGTGCATAGAGGAAGTGAGGTTCCACTTGTCAGGTGAGACAAAAGTGTCTTTGAAAGTTTCGATGTTGAGTGACTCTGCCTCTGAGCCTCTGCCTCAATCTGCCATTAATAATGCGAGGGCCATCTACTGTATATTGCAAATTAAGAACCGTATAAAGGTCCTGTATATTATTATATAAAGTTACATATATTCAATTTATTAAGTATGATCAAAACATACCAAATTGTTATATGTGCCATATACATTGCAACTAAGCCCTATATAAGGGGCTTATATATGAACCACGTATAGCTCCATATTCATTAAGAATGGCCAAAACATTATATGGACTGGACGGCTTCCAAATACAGTCTCTCATATATAATTTTTATTGGTACCATGAACATTCCGAGCAAAGCACCCCTGTATGGCCATATTTGATATCGCGCATGAAATCTGAATATGGAGTTCCCGTAAGTGTTGGCTTAGGTTGCCGAAGCAGAAATACTTCGAAGTCGGAGGGATCATTTTGAAAAGGTCTTAAACTCACCCACGGCGAACTTTGATGAAGCCCACTAGCGCAGAAATAATCTTACAATGGAGGAAGTTTAACAAACTATCGCTAGCTCGAAGAATGCAAAGTCTTCTGGCATGAATGAAATCCGGAATGACCCTGAAAGCAATGGGTAACGATAGGTGCTCGTGGCTGCAAAGGTTAATGTCAAACGGCGCGGGAATCGGGGACCGCCCTTTTTTTTTATAAGCAGACCGGTGAGGTGGTTCTTCGTTTCAACAAGGGATACTCGAGGGAGGTGTCAATTGCAATGGAATCTCTCCCTTCTATGGTTTATGCCAAATAGCTTGAAATACATATCGAGAGAGCTGGAGCAGTCGTTAGAGAAGCCATCCAAGTGGTACTGTGCGGAATAAGCGAAGGGTCCAGGAACACGGATCATCTCTTCATTCTACACCAGAAAATCGAGAAAAGAAATGGGAGTACGCCAAAAAGGCAACATGTGCATTCTACACGGTGTTTAAAAAAAACTGTGCCTATTCCTTTTTTTTATTTATAGGAATGATATATAGGACATTTCATCCGATCTGCCCAATATTTCACAAACATGTGAACAGATGAGAGAAGGTTCATGCCAAATTCGAACGATATTGACACATTGTGTCACGTACTACACCGTTTAAAAGTTGATGGTTAAGAAAATACACCGAGCATCCTTGGTGATGCTTCCGCCTCAGCTGCGCAGCAAGCGAGTGTCTACACGTGCCATACAGAACGGCCAAAGAGGTTAACTAGCCTTAGCCTGCCTGAGGTGAACGCATCAGCGCGCATGTACGGCTCACTTTTTTTTACCGGTCAAGTTGGAACTGGTATAGAGCGTGATAAAATGGGTCAATTTTCTTCGAATTCGGCACGTACCTTCTTTCCTCTAACTACATGCAGTGTTAAAAAAAAAGAAGTAGGTCAGGAAAATTTACTGTTAATAGCGAAAATGATTAGGCACAGTTTTTATTTATTTATTTAAACACCGTGTAGATCTTGAAAAGGCTTACGACCGTGTACTTGCAGTCGTGAGAGCTGCAGGACTATGGAAACAATGACCATCTACAGGAGACCATTCAATCTTCATACGGTGGTTGCAAGAGCTGCGTTCCAGCCTAAACTGGAGAAAGCCCTCTAATGTCTGGTTCTCGAGATATTGGACGATACGGAAACGAGATCGACGGCGGCATCTGTGGAGCTTCCGTAGTTTTGTAAGAACTCTGGCAGACCGTGGATGTCAAATCTGATCTTTCCGAGGCAGCGACATTTTATTGATTTTTAAGGGCGCATGCCTTCCAACCCTCAATCGTGGCCAGGTAGTGACCGCAAGAATCGGGTCGCGGATACAAGTCGATGAGGTTTTTGCGGTGGGTGACAGGTGTTACACGGAGTGAAAGGATGTGGAGCGCTGTCATTCGTGTCAGTCTCCAGGTCGAGAAGCTACGAATTCGGAGAGAACAGAAAGATGTCAAGCCCGTTGGTTTCGCTACGTCTGCCTCATGCCTCCTGAGAGATTCTCGAAGAGAGTCTCCCAGCCCAAAATGACAGGCAGAAGAGCAGTCGATAATCTTTGTGCAAGGTGGATGTACCACATCGCGAAGCAATGCCACGAGAGGCTTGGTACTCTACCTGCTGAGCCCGAGTCCGTTGCCCAGGATCGAGAACAAGAATCATTCCAATAAGGGCTAGAAGCGGCAGAGAAGAAAAAGTGACATTCGGAGCGATCCAATAGTACCAGCACGATCACTATAACAACCTACCTCCGTATATAGGAAGCTTTTCTGTCCTTGAAGAGGATACTCGCCGTGACTTTCTCTCTCATCCTGTTTCTCGCCGTCTGGTCGAATCGGAGTCGATACACGTGACACTAGATAGAACGGAAAGACAGCAATCATGCATTGGGGATCCTAAGAAGTCATGATTATGATGTTACTATTATGAACACTCAACATTTTCCCTCATTTTTCATCGAGAAGGCAAAGTAACTTTTAAGACTTCCTTTGAGTCTACTATCTTGTTCAGCATATCGACCAGAATTTTCGCGGCAAACTTTTTGATTTGCAGTCTCTATGGCTGCAAATCGCTTACTAATTTTAGCGATTCACTATATCTATATTTTGTGACCACCTATAAACTTGGTATCTTCATCATTTTATGATCTACCGAATACCTAGTAGGACGTAACAAAGTATTCAAGCAAGTACACAAAAAAGGAAATATTGTAAATGTTCATTTTTGTGATTTTCTCGCTGTAGATGTCTTTCCTCTCAAACTTGTCCGTCATTTGGTATAGATATGTGGAAGTTTCTAAGAAAATGTAAAGAAAAGGGAATCGGAATTTATAAGGAAATCTCTGAAGCAGCCTTTGATGGGATAATCTTCAAGAAAGGAGAAATAATTGAGAGAGAGAGAGGGATTCCTCACCCGCCACTTGTGATAAAGCCTCCTAAGGATGAGGGATGCATCGGAACAACGCCGAGGACAAGACGGCCAATCTCGGTTCAGTGGTGACATCGGCGGAAGACGGTTAGCCAGTCGCAGCAGCCATTGCCGCTTCTACAACAGTACCCAGGAAAAACAATAAGTTAAGATGACGGCATTTCGATCGTTGAGAAGCCTCTTTCTGTCGAACAGCGTTAGTAATTACATACTGTAAACGTTCGATCAAAATCGACTCGATACACGGCTATAATGCAGATTCGTTCCGACGTACTTAGAAGAGATCGTGAAGCTCTTGTCGAATCGTTCAAAAGCCATGTCGCTTTGTAATATATATTTAGATTTCTTAAGTAATGCTTTCCATGTGTAACCACGCGTTGCTCATAGTCCTCTCATAGCGATGAGAAATCGGCATACAATTAAATAGAAAAACTCTTCCTCGAAATGCCCTTTTTCTTGGTGGTTTCGGTGTGCTCCGTTCTGCAGTGTCTATCTACCGTTTTAGACTCTCAAATCTGATACGAGAAGGGAAGCACCTTCCAAGAGAAGTAGCAGCGCTGAATTGCGACGGCGGCCCACTGAGCTCTGTGCCTCCAATGGACTTCTCTCATGCGCCGACGGCGGCGCCACTTCCTCCAAGCCCGTGCTATCACAGTCTGACTCCATCTGGCTTGTCGCAACCAGTTTCGGTGTCGCCAACCCCGCCACACCTTCTGGATCACAGTCGCCAAGTCGTACATCCTCTCGGACCGAAACTCCTCCAAATCACAGACCTGTAAAAAAACGCAATCGATAAACATAAGATTTTCAAGCAGTGCTGCCTGCATATAGGCCGAATTCCAAAGTTTTTTTTACTTTTTAAGCTGCGATAGCAGAGTGGTGGCACTCTCGGTTCCATTAACTGATAAGCAATCACTATATTACTTTCTAGGAGGACTAGCAAAACAGGTTCACATTACTTCTATAATACACCTTTCCGCAAATAATCTGATCTATTACCTCAATGGTTGCTTCTAGAGTAGGAACGGTTACTTTTTGGCCCTTTCATTCCTCCGAATAACATGTCGCAATCACGACAAAACTCATAGAATCGGAAAAACTACTTTTGTCTTCGTTGTTTCAAGGTGGAACCCACTACAGTGAAGGAGTTCTGGCAGGGAGGCGGATGAAAATCGAATGGGTCCGGGTCACCCGCTGCTCTCGAAGGAAGCTTAGTGTAGGACAACATGGCTCTCTCGATATATGCAGTCATGGTGTCCGATCATTACTACCGAACAGGGATGATCAGAAACGACCCTAACACGTTCTTATCGTTGTTGATGCCACATTCACATCTCGGTCGTGTCATTCATGAGCAAAGTGGTCACATTCACTTTCTCCTTTTATCTTATACATCCGTACAATTCCATGATCGCACTTCATGCATCGAGTCCTGCAGTCACGTGACACATGAACGTAAAGGGTAGTCCAAATTGTAAGGTTCTTTCTCACCGTCCCTGTATACAGCAGCAAATTGGGTACTCCCTTTCTGACTGACCGTTACATTTGGATTTGGTCTTACCTTCGATGCCGTTTGCTTCGGAGCGCACGTTCCCCGAAATTTGTTTGGAATCGGAGATTATTTCGGTTTATGCGAGATATTTGTACCGAGAGATGGAAATCATGCGAAGATTCAAATATATTCCAGGGTATGCAGTCCCAGACGAGAAGTACTCGAATGGAAACCACCGAAGAACCTCGCACGATGCCACCGCGAGGAAGCGGACTCTTACGGTTCGGGGGCTCCTGATGAAGACCTTGGTCCTGCCGTAGGCGAAATCGGACGGGGAGACGAGGAGATCCCTGAGGAGACACATGGTACCCTCCTGGGCGCATCCTTCCCTCCATCGGGGCCATGTATGCACCGAGAGGAGGCGATACCGCGCCAGAAAAGCCTCGTAAGTCATCCGCAGTGCGTAGCCTTGCCTCTTCAGCCTTGTCAGTTCCACCAGCCTGCAACGAAGAGAAGCGCCTAGACCTTGACCCAAGCAAGAGGCTATCATGCTTGCGCGACCGGCTGTAGACATGCGCTTTGGCTGCAATTTTTTAAAACGCATCTGCATCTGCTTCCCAAAGTATCCATCCTGTTTATTGCATAAATGGCTCAACTTTCTGCGGGAGGGACCACACCTGGGAATGAATCCCTGGTCACCTAGGACATAAGCTAAATGCTGCTACTATTTGTAATCATATTAATTACCTTAGTTACCATTTGGTAACTGAGTGCATCCTATGCTTTAATACGAGTGTCTCGTGAATGTTGTCTACGTCTGCAGCATTTGTAAATCGAATGAAAACCGGTTGTATTAGAATGTCCCTATCTGGATAACGGTGACCGAAAGGGTAAAAAAATGTATCCGCATCGCATCAATTTTCCCTCCGCATGGTTTATTTTCTAGTTACATTATTTAAAAAATTTTTTACAACAGAGGCATAATCAAGGACTTAGTAAACAAATAAATAAGTAATGCGGAAAAACTTTCGCCTCTTGTTTTTATCGAACATTGTTGAAAGCCAAGGAACCAAAATATTGTTACTACTCCTTAGTTTCCCCATTATCGGTACGCTGTATTTGGTCTTTAATATTCGTTTATATGGAGCGGTTGTCAGAAACTCTTAGGTACAAAACAATATGGATAGATGGGATTACAAGAGATTACAAGGGATTACAAGCCAAGAGAAAAAGACTCGAGATGCCAGAAGGGATTCATCTGCATGGGGTGGGACGCCCTTCCTTAGAAGCTACGAGGTTTGTTCCAAAAGTTTTTGGACACGACTCATCATTTTTTTTTGGCTGGGGTCTTGGAGTTACTTGCTGGGGTCACTTTCAAAGTAGTCCCCTAGGAATTCTACACACCTTTGCCAGCAGTCCAGCAGCTTCTGGAACACCTAAAAAAACCCTCTATTGGAATGGCTTTCCCTTTGGCACCTTTTCAGATTCATTTTCAGATTATGGAAAAGGAAAAAATAACACGGAGCCAGATTTGGCGAATAAGGCGGGTGTTCAAGCTCTGTGGTATTGAAAGTACATCTGAAAGGCCGAAGATTTGAAGAAATCCAGACTATCCAAACAAATGCGACGCATGAACTTCTAGCCTTTCCAATAGAGGACTTCATGAGGTGCTTCCAGAAGCTACAGGATCGCTGGCAGAGATGTTTGGACTCCCAAGGGGTGCTTCGCTTTTGCCCACATTCTCATTTTGCCATCTGACCTGAGACATGAGCACTTCCCCATTGTGACGGAGAACGGCAACGCTGGAAGACATGATATCTATAGGGAAGAGTAGGTGTCGTACGATAATGATGGCAGATATATCTGTCGAAATGCGAAAGAAACAACAAAACACAGTTACTGCCTCTTTCGCAATGGGATCCAGAGGAGCCCTTTCGCACTCTTTCACCTTCTCAGTTCATCACCAGCCAGCATACATTAAGTGGGGAAACGCGAAACTCTACAGTGGGGAAATGCGAACCCCCACACAGGATCATTCTCGTTTCTCTACAAGAAATTCGGTGTGTTCACGATGAGGCTCCGGTGAAAAAAAAAGGAAGACACTATAGCATGAATGACGTCTCTATTTAAATTCGATTTAAAGACACTACAGCATGTCTTTAAATCGAATGCTGACTTAGCATCTGGAGCCATTTCACTTCATGGTTTCTTGAGAAATGTTCGTGGCGTTATGCCTTTTGTGACTGTGGAAACAGGGGTGCTGTTCTTCCTTATAGATGAAGGGCTGAAAGGCAAAGCGGTCTAGCTGCTGAAAAATTCCGAAAAACGGAAAAGTGGTCTATGTATATAGACCCCTTTTCCTTTCATTGAAGAAAGTAGTTGAAAGCTTGAAAGGAAAAGTGGTCTATCTGCAAGAAACAGTATCACAAGCTACTGAAGGAGAAAATGAAGATTCTAGGGACCTAGCTTTGTAAATTAAGAAGTGTTGCATGTAATGAATCTATTCTTTTTTTATTTTGCAGAAATCCTGCAGGGTACTTTTCTTAAGAGAAAGGTGGAATAACTTGGGGGAATATGGCCGTTGGGGTTATATGGATCTTCAAAATGAATCACCTAACAGACTGAAGAATTAATTTCGGCGAATTTTAAAAGTAGTTATGTCGAAGAGTATATGCAATTGTCGAAATGTTTATACCTGTTCCTTAATCCGGTTTTCACAGGGATTCGGGATACATTGATGTTTTGAAAGTCATATTATGCCATTGCTAAGAAATATGAATCAAGCGTATATTTCCCAATAGCAGCATGGCTACAGGAACCATTTCTTCAAAGTTATTATATGTTCATTCCAGAATGCTTGTGGAAAGTGTTAGTCTCTCCATTTGCGGTTTGCAGGCAGTGTTGTCAACTTTGTTTCGCAATCCAATATGGGGGAATATGGCCATCTCGATTTGGGGTATGGACCTATCCTTGACTTCATGGTAACACCGCACTAACCTATTGGCAGTATCAGCTCCCTTTCAAGTAGGACCTCAGGCAGCAAAATAGCATCCTATGCACATTCTTTGGATATTTGAATAGACGTACTGAACATCTGCACGAGATATGCAGTGCATGAGGATATCCACATGCACCGCCTCATTGACATCCGCTTGACAAACTCCAGAAATTTTCTTGGCTCAAAATTTGAATGCAGGTAAATATCCCTCGTACATAAAAGTTTTAAAATGTCACCTTGTGATTCTTGGCTTTATTTATGCATACATGCAAAAAATATGCGACGTTTCTTCAGTAATGAAAGTTCTCTTAGTTCGCACTCGTAATGCATGCTCACTTTGATCTATGGTTGATCATTCCTCTTACACCTACAGTTATATTTTGGAAACTTTGTGAAAGTCAAATTCGACCTTGATGGTTCGTTAAGACAAAGGTTTCATTTTTTAGGACCATATTCCCCCAAATTACCCAATAGGTGGCCCTGCACGTTATTTTTCAATTTCCTGTTGCCTTGAGGTACTTTTGCAGATGAACCTGTTTTCTTTAAGCCCCTCAATAGGTGTGTCTTTCCATATGAGGCAGACTTTGATTTGCGAGGGGTGATCAAAGAGGTATGCACCTAAAAATAAAGTTGTTGGGTAGCATCTGATGCCAGGCCCTTTTCTCGCAACCACATTGGTTCTCCAAGAGCATTTTAACTTCTGACGTATACTTTTTTCCATCCAACTAAGCTCCGTCAGATGGGTATATTAATATACCTTTTCTACTGGCCAGTTTCTCAATGGAATTCAAAGATGAGGGGATGATCTCGCTTCTATCCCTTCCCTCACTGAAAACCTGGACACCAATCAAAGGAGATCCCTCAGGAATTGATCAGTATTTATCATGAGGGTATTTCTTCCTTTGATATGGTTGGGAGCTGTATAAGAAATTACATAGCTAGGAAAGAAACTGTGATGATGAGGCTCCATCCTTACATCCATAGACTTCTCTGAACAAAGCTACTATTGATGGTTGTTATGCCATAATTTACTATGATTCTAGTACTACTTGGAGAACTTCATATCATGAGCTTTGCATCAGTTGCGAAGACCCCACAGTCTTGTCATTCAGAGGTTGAAAAATTTCAAGAGGTGTGCGAGAAGATTCTCTCATCTCCCGACAGTAAAAAAAAAAAGGGAAAGTGTTCAAGAGCTGATGGCCTAAAGAGACACTCCGAAGTCACAGGAGACACATTTTGAACATTCTTCTTCACCGTGAAAAATATGTCCAAAATATGTCCTATAAAAGTCCAACATGATCTGGCATTCAAAATAAGAGCCTCGACCTCAAGTTTTGAAATCTGGTTTTCAGTTAAGTCAGATGTCCACCATCAATTCTCAATATTCACTGTTTAAATCATCCAAAAGTCTAGAATCATCAGCTGCGTTCCGTAATCAAAGAATTTTGGCGAAGGTCTTCAGAGAACTAGAGATAACGGGACCAAAGACGAAAACATGTCAGATGCTGCTTCACCATGACAATGCTGACCCTCACAAGGAAAAGTCGAGGACGTCCTGCCTAATCGAGAGGGCATGTTCTCTCTTCTTCACCACTCACCCAACTCTCCTGATTTGGCTAACTACGACTTCTGGCTCTTTCCTTAGCTTCCAGCTGTCCAGAATTGCTGAAGACTATTTATAGGGATAGATTAACTAGCTAAGGCTGAATGAGCAGAGCTGTTTAGTATTCCTGCTTTGGACAACCATAACGCCTTTCGAAGCGTAGTGCTCCTTTTTCCTCTTTCACTGAGAAAAAAAAATCTACTGAACAGCACCAAGATTAATCAGTTATGGTTTTTAGGAATTCCATAACGAGTGCAAAAGTTTTCTCGACTCACTTTTCTGTCAAATCTATAATTCCTGTAATTCGTAAATTTTTTTAATTCGATTAAACTAATAATAATATACATAGTCACGTAATTGAAACAAGTCATAAAACAGGTTCTTAAGAACAGGACATGTACGGCGGCAAGTAAATTTCTCAGTGGTTATAAAATGCATGCAGATATATAGAACTTGAAATAGCTATCTTTTCAGAGAAGTTTTTTTAGCGCCTCCCAGCCAGAATGCATTCTGGATGCAGAATCCCTAGTTTGAGTTAATATATTTAGACTCTCGGGTAAAGGGTTTGAGAGGGAAGCGGTAGAAATTAAAGCAGAAGCCTTACGGCTGCTATATGAGCTTTTTGGTCATTCCAAGCTGTTCAACCCAGAAAAAGATTGTACCCCAAGCCCATCTTTATGCATTCATACAGCACAGCGGCGAGATCACTTTTAAATGCGAATATTCCATCATGTAAGTGTTGTAGTCATAGGTAGGAGATGGGTTTCATGCGCATAGACCACTTTTCCTTTCCAAAATAGAGTAGCCAGTTCACAAAGGAGAAGTGGTCTATGTACATAGACTTTCCTTTCCATATGTACATAGACCACTTTCCCTTTCCGAACCCGGAAAAACGACTTTTTTGCAGATAGACCACTTTGCCTTTCAGCCCTTCATATGTCACAAGTACATAACAAAATATTGAAATTGCAAAAAAAAAATCCGTCAAATTTGAAAAAAGGTAAGAATAAAATCTGCTGGGACGGAAAAGAAGCAAATCCAATTAGCCGAAATATGCTACATATTTAAATGGATTACAATGGAAAACATTAAGGTGTCAGGCAGTTTTGGGATCTGATATTCTCAAGATGTCTTCGGGGAGGAAACAAGATCCCCATCATCCAGGCCTAGAAGTGAGAAAATGTAAACGAAGAGAAAATAAAGAAAAAGAAAGTCTATTCTGAAATCACCTCGATGGCTTGTCGGGTAAAACGCATTTACGAATCCCGACGGCGACAGTTCGAGACCACGAAAGGTTTGGGAGTGGTGATTTGAGAACGACTGGAAAATCAAGGACCGCGTTGCCGCACTCCCTCAAGTGGTGAAATGAGACGAAAGTGCGAAGTGGGCAAGTGCGAATGTGAGGAAGTAGTAATAATCCCTCCCAAGGGGACTACTTTGAAAGTGACCCCAGCAATTAACTCCAATACCCCAGTCCACAAAAAAATGATAAGTCATGTCATAACACTTTTGGACCAAACCTCGTAGTTGCTAAGTTTGCATAAGATTACAAGACTAAACACATCATAATCGGCAAGGAAGTGAATCTGGATGGGGTCCTCTGCCATCGTACCTTTAACAATATCGACGGCTTTCCCTGTGATCAGGAAATTGGAAACGCGAATATGAGTACTGTTGTCGTAGGAGTGCGAAGCCCTTCTCGTGATGGTCTCAGCACTGCCTCCCTTTCAACCTCATCTCATCGCAAGCCATTCTTTCCCCGATCGTTAGGGCATTTCCCAATAAGTTTCGCATTTCATGTCACAGGGAAACGTTTATGATCTCTGATTTCCTGACTTTCCTTTAGTTCCTTGGGAGACTCATTTCTCGTATCTCGGAGAATTTAATTCGAACCATTCGTTCCGATTGCCTCATCCGTGGAGATGGTGTGACAACTTGAAGGCAAGCATTTCACATTAAAACGCTTTCTCGTGAATTGTATGCGTCTAGCACCCCGAAAACGCAGCCAGATGATAGTAGACGCGAATTTTCATAACATGAGAGGAGAAGCCGTCAACAAAAGGGCCACATATGGTGCAACGATAAGCCAGAACGAAACATACTTACCAACTTGGCTAATTTTTTTGTTATTCTTGTGGATTGCTTTTAAAATATAGATTTTATTCCACGAAAGGAAAAAGCTTAGGTCCGAATGTTGAAACCTCCTTTAGTAACGGTCCTTTAAGAATGCATGGACTTCTATGGGGGGAAAGAGCTCTTCATTTTAAAGGCTTTTTCTCCCCTAAATGAGGTTTGCGCAATCGGGCTTTAGAACTGCAATGGCACGAATGGCGTCATGGGAGTAGAGAATACCGTGGCTTCAGGGTAGGCGTCACGATATATTCTTTCTCCCAACTCACACTCCGATTCACCAACCGAAGTGCCTAGTTCTCCCGCTGGCCACCCTGCCAGGCTGGTCTCTTCGTGGCATTCATTCCACCGCGAGGATGGATCGACGTCGAGTCATCCTGCGTCCTACGTCCTGCCAGTCCTCTCTCGTGGGGGGAAGTTTGTACTCCCGAAGCTTCATTCAGCTCATCTTTCGAGCTGGTATAACTTTCTTACCGTCTTCGATTCGACTTTCGAATTCCCATAGAAATCTAACCACGTATCGTCGTCACCATATTCGTCGTTTTGCCTCTCGTGCCTCGTTACAGGCGTGCGTGCACATATGCGAGACTTTCGGAGTGAGCATGGCCCTTAGGGAATTTGAACAGGAAATAACTATTTTGGACCAAGATTCTGACAAAAAGGCGATATATCGATCCTGATGAGATTTAAAAAAAATGTTGGACCTGTCCGCATTATGTTTACGAAAACGTTCGGGGAACGAATCACGATCCATTAGACATGGCATGAAACGACGTGCCGATGCTGATGCGAGTTTTATAACAAACGATCCGTATGAGAAGCGGCAAACAGAGACCGATGATTTCAAAACAGCAATTCGGTTGCAATTCGGTCCAATTTCCGGTTCAGACTTTGGTTTGACTCAAGTACCATCGTGCTCCTTTCGACCTCACTCGTAACGAAATCCCAACTGAAAATACAATCGAACCAAAACTGGAACAGAACTGCAGCTTTGAAATCAGAGATGAAGGAAGAACTAACCCCATGTAGCGAACTTGATGTTGGACGAGGGCATTGTCGAATTTTCTGGGTTGTCGAAATTCGTTGGTCTTGATGCAGCGGACGTGCCGGGCAGTCTTGCCTCGCAGAGTCCTCACCAATGCGGCCACGCCGATACGAAACTGAGTCCCTGCCGTCGCCGCTCTCTTCAAATGAGTCCTCTTTGGATTTCCTGTCGTAAAAAAAGGCAGTTCGCGAACCATATTAACCATGAAATAATTTGACTTCTTTTAACCATACAACCGTCTGAAAACCTCACGTACGTACAAAGCAGAGCAAGAATGGCATTGAATTTCGTCGCTAAAAGCAAGTAAGGTATTCCGAGGACCGGATAACTTTGAGCAAGTCCGGATATGCGAATTTAAAGCAGATTCTCTGTCACGTGAGCGACCGGAGTGCAGCTTCATGATGGGGACATTCGTTGAAATGTCAACCAGATATTGGGAAAAGGCATACTACACCACTTATCTTGGGCGCAAATGCATGAGCACAAGGAAAGATGAATCAACCCCTTTCATGAGTGGGACTGCCAATTACAGAGTACTTTAGCTTCTTTGGTACGGAAACACTATTCGATGAACTTAAAGCATCTTATGATATCCCCATGGGGATATATGCTTACATGGAATAATTCTACATTCTGTAGTACTTCTACACTGTCTCCAAAAATACGGGGAAAGTCTATTTTCTAATCACTCTTATCTCCATCCAATATCGTGCGAGGCTCATGCTCTTTGGCACATGCCATTTTAGGTGAATAAGAAAAAGACCCCTGTCAAGCGTTAAATAATTTCACCCAGTGCATAGAATCCAATAACTTTTCAAAGTAGAATTATCAAAAATCAGAGTGGACGAGCAATCCGCACTCTGCTTCTTCTAACCATTTGCATCACTTTGATGCTTTCCAAAATGACGAAACTGGCAGCAGGTTGCCTCATCGATGAGGCTCCTGTTTTTTTTTTTAAATATAAATTCCTTTCATCATGTCTATCGCTCGATGAGCTTACGTTTGACTCCTTCTTGACCGAAGACCAACTTCGACAGTCTCGATATTTTCCGTTGTTTGAGTTCTAAGCGACCTGCCGCTTTCACATTTTCTACCGATCGAGACAGTTTCAGGAATTCAAAATGAAAAAACTCTTCAAGGCCACGACATGACCTTTTTTCAAAAGGAATTTCTCCATGAACCGGTGAGAGTACCCCATCATCTCTCATAAGCCTTTGATCAGGTGCTTGTCCTCTTCATTGAATCCCATGATGCTCTTCGTAATTTTGAATAATGTGGTTCATAACATGGCAAAAACTGAAAGAATGGCGAGTTAGGCTTTAGGCCTACAAGAAATTATGATGATAATGTTAACACAGGGTAATAAGTATTAATAAAAAGGTTTATTCCCTGAAACTGCCTGCTGCCTGTGCTCAGTTGTGTTGAAGCGCACCAAAGGGATACACCTGACAAGGAGCAATAGGCAGATTGTTTCTTCACTGACTTTTTTGCCACTTATATTTAAAAAACTTGTTGCGTTTGAATAATTGGTTGAGAAGGGAAAAGGGAAGAAAGAGAAAGGGAAAGATGTTTCTAAACTTGGCAGAAATATTTTTTATTCATCCGAGATTTCATGAGCTGAAAAAAGTGAGGCACATGTAAAAATTGGATCGAGATACTTGAAATAAATAAAGTGGTCCCCCTCCCCATTTTTTACATTATGGATACAGTGCAGATGCTCCTGAACCTGGTTCTCTCGAAAACTTGCTTTTGGACTTTCTTTTTGAGATTTAGAGCATTAAAAAATGCAAACGCAAGGTATCCGGTACAAATCGACAAAATGGGACGCACCGATGAAGTAATCCAGGTTACTCCGGACTTGATCAGAATGAGAAAGTCCAAATGAATGAATTCTACGCGGATTTGAGGCACGCGACCCAAGTGCGACGCCAAGATGGCTGTATATCGATCAACGCACTTAAATGCCAAGTAAATCATGCTTCACAGTTCCCGCGCGCACAAGCATGAGCATCGCAGTAGATGAACAAACCCCTATCACGAGAGGGAGTCCAATTCACAGTATACGCTAAACTGTCGATATAGGAATGTCGCCATGGGACGAGGTCAAATGTGCCTCATTGGCTGAGATCGTTTGGGTAGCTTGGAATGCTATGAAACCCAAATATACCGTCGAGTTTATACTCAGAAGCGCCGACTGGGATCCTATCAGACATATAAACGAAGGATCCCACACGAGACCGATTATAATTTAAAAGAAAATCAATTGACTGCCTATGTTGTTTTTGCCGATGTAGGTGAAATTTGACTGACCTTCGGGAAAGAGCACCTGTAGAAGTGGATGAGAGCACCTAAACATGGCAGTAGAGATGTCACGAGCTAGAACGTCCGAGTTCTTCTCTATGAATCCCCGAACGCTGTATATCACATTCCCGGCAAAATGTCGCACTCTGCGAGGAAAAATAAAAGGGAAAGTGAAAAGAATCCAAGAAGACAAAGGGAAAGAAGTTAGTAAAATGTCGGGTGCAGCTCCAGCAGAAAATTTCCACCCGGTCGGCCTTAAAGAAACAGCCAAAATTTCCAAGTTTTTACTAGAGCTAATCTCTGGTTTGAGCATGAAAGTGAATCTCCAAAGTCAAACGAAGGTCTTTAGCGAGACCTTCGTTTGACTTTGGAACCAGATCTGACATCGTGTAGAGCGGGTGTGAGATCATATTCAGATTGATCGGAAAATCACAGAACAATGAAAGAGAAGACAAATTTTCATTTAAAAGCGTTACGTGCGTTCTGCATTCTTCACAAGAAAATATTTACTGCAGCATGTTCTTGCTTTGTATGCTGCAGTCAATAAGATACTTTTCTGGGTAAAAATAATTCCCAGGTTATTACCGGAAGCAGTTCTTCGGGAGGGAGTCGTCTGCGAGGAAGTTCTTCATCCCCCGGGATTCGAAGTTCGGATGTCCGGCACAGATTTGGGTAAGCTTCAGGAGGAATGTGTCGTCGGTTACGTTCCCGCTTCGAAGGCACTCTTCATCCAGCAGTGACAGAATCCCATGGTTGTTCTGAAGAGAGAGAGAGAAAAAAAAAAGTAAGCCGATAAAGTGGACCAGTGATTTGGGTCGACTACCTCACCATCGAAAAACAGCCACAAAGCGGAACGCATACACTGTAAAAAAAATTTTCCCGCCGGGAACTCCTGAGAGCACGTAATAGAACACCTGGAGGCGTTTTTTTACCATATTAAAGTGTTCCCGATTCCCGGTAGGGTAAGTGAGACAAATTCCGACCCCCTTAAGAAGTTCTTTCTATCTAAATCCGCCCATCGCCGAATTTTTCAACTCGAGGGCTTTCGGACCTATACCGCATGACAGGAAAATTTACACACTACA